AAATTGTAGAGGGTCCGTGGCTGTGATGTTGGGAAGTCAGACGTAGAAGAAACGCATGTAAGGTTCAGATACTCCTGCCCGCCGAGCCCAACTACATAAAAAGGTTGGACTCTGATTAAGTCCAAAGAAGAAGGCAAAGAAAGCAAACAAAACACAAGACCGATAATATATGTATATACAAATATATATTAATAACAAGTTACAATACATGGAAACAGTACAAAGGACGAAGTGTATGGGAATATTCTGTATGTGCGTGTGTGAATATTCTGTATGTGCGTGCGTGTGTATTGTGCTTAGCGTGTTTTCCACGCTATCCCTTGTTAGCGCCTACATTTCGCGGTTGATAGCTGAAAACCTGATGAAAAGGAGAGATTTACCTCAAGGTGTCGGCGCACAGGCCTGAAGGAAAAAAGAGATAGAGGCGAAGGGTCCGCGGCTATTTATAGCCAGGGAAGAGAGACCCCTGGTGAAAGGGTTAATGTACTAAAGGAGGAGTTAACTCCGACAAAATACAATAAATCTTGCCACTAAAAGAAAATGTTCACCAAAGAGTAAATAGAACTGAGTGAGAAAATTTCTTTGAATTATGTCCTGAAAAGCTGAAGATATGTTCAGTAAACTTGTAGCTTCAGAAGACTCTTTTTTTAAAGTATTTTCTTACAGGTGAAGAATTGGAGAAAACTGGAATATCCAAATTTAGCGTGGCGGCGATGTGTCGGGTTGACTTTTTTGGTCACTAATAGAACACGTTCGCGCTTCCTATATATTTGGTTCTCTGTCACATGACCGGCTCCAGACTGCCGTTCAAAAATATTGGTCGCAAAACCTAAGTGCGTAGGTGTCATTCAAATTTATTATTTTTTAGTCAATCAGCCATCGGAAAAATAGCCAGGTCTGTGTGATCCACTTTTTGCACAATTTTTTTTTCATTTTTTCAAGAAGACATATAGTAATTGCATTGCATTATATTTTTTAACCAATGATTTGTTGAGAAGAAATTTAAAAACTGAAGTGGAACGCTAAAGAGATACTAACGTCAACGTTTTACTTCGAAGTCTATTCTCTTTTGTCCAGGACTATATTTGCTTTGTCCTTCAACGACGTTACTAGGTCATCAATGTCTACGATATTTCTACTGTAACTCAACTTCTTTCGTCATGGATAATAACAAACTCGAACTTTCATCGACGTTACTTAGGTACTAACGGCGCAGAGTATCAATCAGAAATCAATCAATCAGAAAATCAATGAATCCATCTCCCCGCTATGGTTCAATGGCAAATAACTAATACGCAAACATTTCCTAATGATCTTTGCCCTGCATTTGTTTATATTCCTTCTTATTTAAAGGACGACTAAATTATTCATTTGCGTGAACACTCTTCACACCTTGGAGGACATCTAAACGTTGTTTAATATTTTCAGCACATTCGCAAAATTATTGCAATCTCTCAATCCACTATTTGGCGTGTGCTAAGAAATCCGCTCCAGTGATGGATTGGTCGAGGGTGGGGTGGAATTTTCTAAGACCTTTTCTCTTTGTGCATGGCCTGCGAGATCTCAAAGTTCTCCTTGTGTGTTATTAAAAAACATTTATTTATTTTTTATTTTTTGTGTTCATGCATAAAAGATCGCATCTATGTTCCACCACTACCCACTTTAATATTTTGACCTTAAACATCAAACAACAGCAATCAACTTTAACCAGATCATCATATGCTGATACATTTCTGGGAGAAATTCTCTTATCACATTGATGTTGCCCGTGCTTCAGGAATGGTGCCAATTATCACAAAATGTAAATCAGGAAAAAAAGTTGATTGTGAAAAGAATCCTTGTGACTTGGTTGGAGTTTTCTATTGTTTTCCTTATTAAAATATTTACATAATGAAATCGTTTCATTCTTTTTTTGAATAAATATGTATGTTCTTTTTTTATGAAGCACTACTTGAAATGTTGGTAGTGATCCTGTTAGTTATTGCCGAACAAATAGTTTGTTTTATGAAAATAGGTTCTTTTAATTTCAAAACATTGTGTTCTTTATAAATTGTATCTGCATTAATATCACACCTTGGAAGAATTCTAAGTTGTTTGATATTTTCAGCGCATTCACAAATCACATTTATACTTTTCCTATATAAATGTATTGTTGTAGTTAGTTTTTGGTTTGTTGCCAAAAAATAAAATTTGACTTTATTTTAAATCAAGAATTTTGGTATGTTTTTTGTACTCAATTTGTTTGCCAACTTATTATCTTTCGACCAATTCTAGTTTGGGGACTCCTCTCTCCAACACCTCCACAACAACATACGACATTTGGAAAAACGTTCATGAAAATATGGCCCCAAAATAATATCCGATAATGCATTTCACCTTCAACGGCTTCATAAGATGGATAACGAAAAATGTGTTGTGTGTGTATGCATTTGTGTGTTTAAAATAATTAAATCTTATATTATTTTCCAAATGTCAATAACTTATAACACTGCCGGGATTACATACCCAAATTTACAACAGCATATGAACAATGTTTGCCATCTTTCACACAATTATGTACATATTCTGAATTTTGACCACGTTGTTGAAATTTTAATCTTTGTTTGTTCCTTTTCTTTGCAACCAAACGCTTGTTATAACAACTGATGTCAGAAGTGGGATCTTGGTTAAGTAGTATAAAATTATGAAATAGTTGGTCCACAATCAAACCTGTGGTTGAGTAAAAACTATTAAGTAGTTGGTACACAGTAAAAGACTATAGTTGAGAAAAGACTTTGATCGTCAGCGAAGATTCACTGACTGTCCCTGCTGTTGTTGTTGGAGATTATTCATTTGAAGTCGCCGACACGTGTTTTTTCTGAGACACTGGGAACTGCGTGATTTTTCAGACAAAAACTATGTCAGCCACAAAAGCCTTGTCTTGTATTTGAATAGCTTGAAGACAATCGCATCTCTGTTGCCGAAAGTCGAAAAAAGTTGGTTTCCATGAATAGAATTTTTTTAAAAGACGACGAGAAAAATAAGATTTTTCCTTTTTTCTGAAACTTCAAATATTTCAAAAAGTGATGTTAATTTCTAACCAAAAGATACTTTGATTTAAACGATGTGTTTTGCATTGTGGAATCTTTTTGGCATGTTTGCAAGTATTGTCATTGGGTAGAAAATAAAGTCTCAGCATGCTTTAATATGGTATATATGTTGGTATGTAATTGTGTTGAAAACAGAGTTTCTTTTCTATAATCTCTCCCATCCATTCTAAGTGCATAAAAATAAACAAAAATACTCTTCTATTAAAATAAAATACATTATCACACTTCGACGTGGTGTAACGGTTAGCAAGTTTGTCTTGCTAGATCAATTACGACTAATTTTATTCTCACTGGATCCTTGCGGCCTTGTACCACATTTAAGGGCACATCGACATAGTATTTCAGTGTATGCGAAATAATAATAACTCCTTTCAAATTCGGACAAATGCAGAAGAAGTAAAGGAATTTGAGAAGCTATGTGAAATATTTTTGGGACACAGAAATTGACCGGTGAGCTGAGAAGAAGAAGGAAAGGAATTCACGAGCATATGTGAAATTGTTTTTTTGACTAATGAAAACCTAACTTGCCTTCACAGAAATTAGCTAACCAGCCGATAAGAATAATAGAAAGTAGCAAAACTACGCGAAATTCTTTTTGATATAAAATGAGGAGAAAAAATTAAATTAATAAAAGAGCATCTGAAGTCCTGTGAAAGGTTTCGTTTCGATCCTTCGCGAACTGCGTTGAAGTTCTTGCTAGTGTAAAATTACTCGCCAATTATATTATCGATCTATAACCAGCGCGCGGCACTTCAAAGAATTTTCTCTCAACAATCCAAGGAAGCTAAGTATTTCATACTATCTATCTTCTCTACTTTTGAACGTATGCAAACCATATCCCTTCGGTGTACAACGAACTCTCTTACCTTTGTCTTCTTAAACATGTAGTTTGTTATTTTGCGTCAGATTATTTAATTTGTTGTATGAACATTTCCTCTTCATGACTACATTAAAACAACGGACTTTTAGAATTCTGATTTATTTTCCTGAAACGAGCTACTGACAATACTTCAAGCGCGTAAATTCGTGAATAAATTACTTGTTTTGTTAAAAAATTACTCGTGTTTCCTCGTCATTAATTGTCTTGGCGTGGGTAAATCAACTGTTCATTTTAACCTCCAAGCCCCACGCCACTATAGTGCAGTGATTTTCCAAGCGTAGATTGGATGTGGCACAAGGTGGAAAGTAGGGGGCACCAAGTGAGGATCGAACTCAATACTCAGTCGTAATTGTTTAAACTTGGTTTAATTGTTTAACCATTCCATTACACACCTACAACTAGTGTAACTAACAGTTAGAAAGTTTGTCTCGCTAGATCAATTACGACTGAGTAGTGAGTTCAATCTTCATTTGTGTGTTCCGTGCTTACGGCTTTATCTCAGCTATAAATCACTAAAATAAAATAATAAATAAACTAGTTGAATGTTTATCCATCTCCAAATCAATATTTAAATTAAAATTCATTTTTGTGGATAACAATAAAATTAATTTGGGTTCAACGAGACACTTTCTAATTCGGGATATGCTGATCTTCTCCAAGAAAATAACTTTCTTGCTAAATCATTACATTTGAAAATATTTTCAACTGCCGGTGAGACGTGTAATTATTACCATTCGTATTTTAATCTGATACAATACAAATATTTACAAATATACATATATAGTTTCAGAAATTTTTCTACTTGCAATATTTGATGAATTATAAAAACAAAAACTTTTCTATCTGAAACCTTAATTAAAGCATAAAAATACGAACGTTTTAAGGAAGAATATAATTTGAACTCAACGGATATTAATCCCAGGGAATGTAAATGCATCAACACCGTTTTGCACATGCGCAGTGGGAAATAAGGAAAGCAAAGCTCTTTACCCACGTTTTCTGCGTGGATTTCTCAACACAAATTTCTCATCATGAGTGGCGATACACGAGATGTAAAGGTAAATATTTTTAGTAGATGATGTTAGAATGATATTTTATATGTTTCTTTTGAAATTATCGAATTGCTTTTCAAATTGGAAATGTTTACGTCCAATGTTTCCTTCTTGTGAGAAGCTGTCCTGGAAACAACGGAAACCTGTTCGTTTTAAAAAAAAAAAAAAAATGTCATGTTTGATTGAAGATCAGTAGAATTGTGAAACTAGTTTTGTTAGTCACTTTTGGCTTTTAAATGTATATCTTTATGAAATTATCATCATAGTCACTGAAATATTTGTACTTAACGTTTCACTGATCTCGAATGTTTACAATACTGGCTAGCTAGTGACTTACTTAATTGACAAATCATTCGATGTATATTTTCGATTTCTTCCCGTATTAACTGCTTTTATTTATTTATTTTTTTAAAACTTTATATTTTAGAATTTTTCTTACATTTCCATTGATGTCACTAAGTTTATATGCATCTTGTAATTTATTCAAGCTAAAGCTTATTCCTAACGTTTTTTATACGGTGAGTTTTAATTTTTATCGGCGGGAATTTTTGGTTAAGTTTTTAAAAGGCGTGCTTTTTTTCCGAAATGAGAGCAGAAATTGTTACCATCTATTTTAAAATATTTGCCAAAAATTAAGGAATTATTCGATTCAATCGGGATTTTCAGAACTTATTCAATTTTACTGAATATGTTATTTTATTAAAAAAAAAACAACAAAAAAAAACTTGAGCTTTTGGACACAGTTTTTGTTTTACTTAAAGTAAACAAAAAAGAAGCATTTTCCTCAAAACAAAACTCCTAAACTTGTCATTCACCTGTTGAATGTAGGATTATTATTGATGTTGTTAATCCGAATGTTAAATAAACAAACACTTTAATTGATGTTCCGTAGTGTAAAATAAAAAAGTTTTTGCTACAGTAGTCTTCCCCCCTTATCTGCGATGCAGCTGATGCCTTGAAATTTGAAACCAAGGATTATTATTACAATTACATTGAATTGAACGCTATTTTCATCCTACCTAAATACAAACATTTTTTGATTTAATAAAGAAAGACAAATTAGCTTGACTACTGTTTGCCGGACACGCTTTAGACAAAAAAAAAAAAAAAAAACAGTAGCAAACTATCGCTAAGTAACGTTTTCTTTTTCATTTTTACGAAGGAATTGATTTAAATTTCATTCGTATTTCGTGATTTAGGATTTTTTTATTTTTATTTTTATTCGAGCATAATATTAATTGCCATTGTTGTTTAGGAAATTCAATTCAGTTGTTAGGAAATTTATTTGAGTTTTGAAAATAAATATCTAAAAAACAAAAAAAAAATACTGACGATAATTCGATTGTTTTGGTAAAATTAGAAAAAAATGCTTGGCTATCTCTACAGCTTTCCTAATTGTAAACGGTAGAAAAAATATTGTTTTGTTGAATCTTATTGTGCCTTAGGCATAATAAGATAAAAGTTTTATCATAAAACAATATCAGAACGATTAACCATTCCGGATTTTTAAAAAATCATTTCACCCCAACAAAGGTTTCTTGTTGAAATTCAGAAGATCTGGTATTTCATGGCAATCTTTTTTTTTTTTTTTTTTTTTTTTCAAATCATTTCACCTCAATCAAAACAATAAAACCACTATGGCTCAAGGTGAATTACTGAGTTATATAAAAAAAAAAAACTATCAAAGAGAGAGAATAATAAAAGAACAACAATTAAGAAGACAGAAGTTAACGATTGACATTGCATTTAAGTTTTTGAAGATCAAAGTTGACTGGAAAGCAAGAAACTGAAAGAGAGTTCCACAAGCAAGAAAAGAAACTGTTAGCATAGAACTTACGGTTACTTACATCTAGCTATTTCAACTGTAAAATGATGAGACCTTGCCACTAATCTTAAATTCATAAAGTATAGGTGCCATAGAGGAAAGTTTGTCAGAAGAATTACCATGAAAGTATTTATAGAAAAGGCACAGGAAAGCTACATTACAGCAGTAGGAAGCTGAGATACCAGGTCAGGACCGATAACCTTGCAGATTCTTTGGATTTTATTAAGAATCACTAAATATATAGCAGGAGCACCAGAGCAGATGTGGTAACAATATTCAAAGCAAGGACAAATTATAGTCTTATAAATATGTAAGATAGATTCAAGTGAGAAAAATTGACAAGCTCAACACTGAACTCGCCTTCCTAGGGGCAGACTTGATTCAATATAATCTTTCTACTTCATATCAGTAGAAAAACATTAGTCCAAGAAGTCTCAATGAGGTTAGCATCAGCCATGTTGATGGAAGTTAAAAAGGATTCTTTAAGATGATTAAAAGAGACTATTTTTTTGTGGAGGCATTAAAATTAACAAGCCATTCCTTGCCCCATTTAACAACAGATTGTCAGTCATTTCTGAAATCATTAACTGCATACAACAAATAGAATGCTTTCAAAATTGCATTCATACTTCCCATCCATCTATTACTTCCTCTTTTCACATGGGGTCAACATGACTCAAAATGTTTGTAAAATTGAAGTACAACAGATCTGGAGTGTAGCAGCACCAAAATTACCAACAACAAGAAAACTGTATTACTTATGAAGAAATCCTACCACCTCTCATTCTGGAAATTGGCTGCTACTCAAACTATCACATGGACTCTCACTGACTACTTGATATGTTGTTCTTTTATATATACCAAGTGCACAGAAGTAATAGTAGACACAAAAAGCTCAGATATTTATCAGAAAAATACAAGGTTTCATTTTAACGTGTGTTGCTTGAAGAGTATAAAATTTTTAATTCCTTAATAACTATACATGTTTAAAAGCTAAAATTTTGCAGATTAATAATTTGATATTACTTTTTAAATGTTGTATAATTTTGATCAGACAAAAATGCCAACATATGTCCCTTGACGGCCAAAGCACTTTCATGACACATGAAGGGAAAAAATCAGTTTCACTTCTAGTCAATTGAGCAGGCTTTGCTGTGTTGAATAGACTGCTTTAGAGGACATGCAAACCAATTTCATTCCTAGCAATAAAGTGAGTTGAGCAAATTGCTTTAAAACCTGCAGGCTTTTCCTGCAATGGGCTGGTAGTAAACTGATGCAGGGTGGCGGTGTGTGAGTGAAGTGAATGTCATGCTTTTTCTCTCCCCCCCCCTTCAAAAATTCTATTTGTCCTTTTGCCAATTTTTAATTTTTTCCATAAGTTATGTTAATTAAATTTAAGTTGATATCCACTCAATAGGGATATTGTATTTTATAAATTTTCAACAAAAACAGGTTTTATTTTGCCTAAAACCGATTAATTAATAAAATATGTCCTAATAATATGTCTGCTATAATTTGAGTTTAATTTTGTCAGTTTTTAATCTATATGGTTTTTTTAAAGTTTTTCTTTACTAACCATCCATCCAGGTTGACTGTAGTCAAGATCATCAAGCCAATGCGAACAATCCTTTCTTTAGCTGTATAGTATGTGCTATGCCAGGGTTACAGACAGTTTTTGAATTTAGAGTTACTTTCTCCTAGACTGGTTGCCACCCAAGGTTATAGAATCCAATCTGGTCTGCTATTTACCCATAGCTTGGGGTGGGGGAGAGGAGGATTCATACCTTTTGCAAGGGTATTAACACGTAAGTGAATATAATGGATTCGACTGGAATTTGAACTCAGCTCTCTGATTCCTAGATCCAAGCCACTATCCATTTCTCCACCATGCCTCTTTACTAACACTAAGGATATACAAGATGTTTCTGTGTTCAAATATGTACATTGGTTACAGAATTTGGTCCATCTTGAATTTTGTTTGCAAATGACTGAGAAAGCTTACCAGCTGAAGTTTCTTTAGTATTAAAGGAATAAAGTACAGGGTTATTAAAAAAGAATGAACCAATTTCATGACACTTTGCTTCAGTTCTCAAGTATCGTCATGGAATGAGTCAGTGACCAATTGAAAGAGGAAGTTTTGAATGGCTGCCACAGGGGCCTTGTAGTCGCGTCGTATCTCCAGCAACGTTCAGTTGTTAGTTTACCCCTGGAATGGTGGGTCCTTAGCAAAAGGCGTTCTTAAGTTTGGAAAAACAAATTTGGTTGTCATGGTGCAATGTGCTTTTCAAAGAGAATTCTACATTAATCCGCCCTCTCTTAAGAACATTTAACGGTGGTTTAAACAGTTTCAAGAGAGTGGATGTCTATGTAAATGAAAAAGTCCAGGATGACCACAAGTTTCAAAGGAACAAATGGTGAGAATATATGCTGCGTTTGAGGGGAGTCCACAGAAGTCTGCAAATCGAGCTAACTGTGAGCTTGCAATCTCTCAATCCACTGATGGATTGGTTGAGCAGGGGCATGGCCTGCGAGGTCTCTGGACCTCTCCTTTTGTGTGATTTTTTTTTTTTTTTGTGGGAATACATAAAAGATTGCATTTATGTTCCACCACTAACCATGATGACCTTAAACATCAAACAACAGCAATCAACTCGGTTGATCATCATATGCTGATACGTATCTGGGAGAAATTCTCTTATTATATTGATGTTGCCCGTGCTGCAGGTGGTGGCCACATTGAACACTTGTAAGACAGGAAATAAAAGTTGATTGTGAGTTGAATCCTTGTGACTTGGCTGGAGTTTTCTATTGCTTTTCCTTATTAAAATATTGCATAATGAAATCGTTTCATTCTTTTTGAATAACCCTGTATGTTCTTTTGTATGAAGCACTACTTGCAAGCTGTTGGTAGTGATCCTGTTAGTTATTGGTGAACAAATAGTTTGTTTTATGAAAATAGGGTCTTTCAATTTCAAAACATTGTTATTTATAAATTGTATCTGCATTAATGGCACAAATGATAGACATATCAAGACATTGTTTTTTTGGAGTGGGGAGGGGGTGTAGTACCAAAATGCAAGATGTTATGAGGTTTAATATCATGGTGGTGTCTATTAAAATTTTTGAAAGTATTTTGGTACATGTGTACTAAAATGCCAGTGTTTTCCATGCTTTTAATCTTTGTTGTTTCTCAATCAAAATACAAGAAATAAATTCAATGTCCCCCCCCCCCACCTAAAACAAAACAAGAAGAACAGGGATTTCCTTGTGGAAGGGTGGAGGTGAAACTGGATGAAATGAAAAATGATTTTCTGAAATATCCTATTAAGTAAGTTTGTACTTTTGAATTGAAAAAAAAAAAGTTGGAAAATTGCATCTAACATTTTTTTTGGGGGGGGGGAAACACAAATACTGTATTTTTTGGCACTTCCAAGACAGAAAATTACTTGGATGAACGAACCCTCTCTGATTCTGATAGGTTTTTAATGTAGGGAGTCTACAGGTGGTGATTTGGATGGGTCCCTGGGAAATTCAATGGGTCCCAACAAAAGTTTCTTAATAAATTGCTGTGTTCAAATGCACGGCTACAGACTGTTTTTTTTTTTTTTTTGCGTCATTCCAAAAAACAGTTTTAAATATGCCGAGAATCACTTAAATTGATAGAACAACTTTTTTTCTTTTGAATCAAATTTTAAAACGAAAACACTATTTACACTTGATTCAATTAAGAAAGTATACTTTTACAGAGATTATGAGAGAAGGAAGTTTTTTTTTGTTTTTTTTTTTTTGACAGAGCAAATTTTTTTGAAAAAAAAATTAGATACAAAAATTCAATACAAAAACAGTTCAGTTAATAGAGGAAGAGAGGGGTGAACAGTTGAAGAATACATTTTTATTGCCAGGGAGATAGTCAAACATGAAAAATTTGCTTATTTTGAAAAGTAATCTTTCCTTTTAAGACAAAATTTATGTTTTGTTTGACACTTTCTTCCTTTCTTGGCTAAATGTTTATTAGAAGCATCCATGCATTTCTACAAACAAGAGTTTTGATTTTATTTTCAGTCTAGACTATGCATTAGGTTGTTTAAAGCAAGAGTCGGCAAACTTCAATGAGTTCAGGTACATCAGATAAATAAATAATAAAAAACCCAACCCACATTGTGTCTGGTAAGGTGACATTGATTCCATGTTACCCACACATCCCACCACTACCCACACATCCCAATGAAAGAAGAAAAGGAAGAACTAGTAAAAAAAAAGTATTTGAAAGAATAACATCTAAGGATTAATGCAGTATTTATTATTTAAAATTACAAAAAATATTGGCCTTCCTAGTTTGTACTAACACATGCAGGCCTGTTAAATTTTATTTGTACAGTAACATTAATGTTAATACAAATGTCTCCACTTAAAACATTTTGCACTCATAGTTTTAAAAAGTATGTTAACAACAAAAATACAAAATGTTTAAAAAAAATAAAATGTACTAATTACCATCAGTATTTAGTTCATTTGACAATAATTTGCATTCAGTTACAAAAAGAATATATTATTATTAAAATACACCTTTAAATGCCGAATCTAGATGCATCGTCAGTGTTGTTGCTCCCATGTCACTAGAAGTTTCGGGTCTAAATAAACAACAGACTTCTTCGATGGGCGACTTGACTGAATACGATCAATATTCGCCCCACACCTAGAACAAAATTTGCTACTAGCTTTATGACGTGGATTATATAAGTTGCCCCAGTAAACAGCGACCAATCAAGACTTCACTTGGGCTATTCGAAGTTATAGATTAGGTATGCATGGTTGTATTGATCTTCCTACATGCGGCCAAGACAGGGTGTTTTTATATTTTAAATTAAATTGATACTGTTGTTTTCTTAGTATCGACCAACAACAAATTCTTTTTACAATGTCATAACTGTTGGAGGTTGGGTTCGTGCAATGTATTTCTTTCATGGGAAATTTTAGTTGCCTTCTTGAAATGCACAGATGGGAAAGTTACTGTTACCATTAAGATTTTTATGTGTCAGGGACACAGGACATGCATATATCATCATCCCTTCCCTTTGTACTTTTGTGAAAAGTTGGAAAAAATAAAAAAGGACCAACCACTCTGGCTTCACTCCAAGTACCTGTGATCCAAGAATTTAACTGGGTACCAGGAAATTGGGTACTTATTCAAAATAGGGGAAATGCCATATAGTACCATAATTTTAGAACCTGGGTATTTATTGAAATTTCAGAATCAAACTGATACCTACCACTAGCCAAGGTACTTGGTATTCCCACTGAGTATGAACTTATTTGCTTAAAGGGTTGTCCCAAATAGACCAGCTGAATGATTTATCACCATCTTCTTCTTCTTTAGCAGCCTCAGCCGAGATTGAACCCACTACACCTTTCCAGTATTCCTTATCTGTCATAGCTAATACTTTGATTGGTGTAGTTCATAATCTTGTCAAATAGCTGAATACTTGATGCTTTGCTAGGGCTATCAAGGGTGTTTTTATCGTGATACCATCACTAAATGGATTGCCAACTAAGGCTCAGAGAGACTCCATTCACCCTCTGCAGGTTTTGAATTCAGAGTTTTCCTTCGTCTAGACCAGTTGCCATCCAAGGCTATAGAACCCAGTCTGTCCTGCTATTTACCCATAGCTGGAGGGAGAAGAAGAGGATTCACACCTTTCCCAAGGGTATTAGCATGTAAGTGAATGTAATGGATTCGACTGGAATTCAAACTCTGCTCTCCGATTCCTCAATCCAAGCCGCTATCCATTACTCCACCATAACCCATGGATTAACACAGACATATCAGACATAAGAATACAAACAATTAAAGATATGGGTAGTGTCTCACTAAAATAATCTTTAAGATTGAGTGGCAAGTTCTCCGGGTTCTTCCCTGATGGTAAATTTCCATTTTCTGTTATTGTTTTTGTTTCAAAATTGTAAAACACGTGAAAAACAGACTTGTGTGTAAACAGTAAAATATCCAAATATATAGCCTATTTATGTAGGTATCTTTTTTTGTACTTCAGCACTTTCTGATGATCCACAAGTGTATTCCCTCAGAGTCCAATCTATGGTGTGTTTACAAAAACTGCAAAATAATTTATCACCATCATGCTAAAAATCATCACAGAAAGCTGGCTCTTCAGCTCTGTATTTTGCTGAAAGTGTGCACCCACCAAGTTTGCTAGCTTTTCATTTACACATCATGAAAGATAATCAAATTAGCATTCAAAAATCTAATTTAATTATTAAACAAACAACAACTTCTATTTTAACTAACGTTGATGGCATGTTTCACACTATTCATATGCCAATATCGCATGTAGATATTTACCCTGTGGTGACTGGTTTGGCCAGGTTAATATCATGAATTGGGTTATGGTGCTTGTGCAGTACTGGATTTTTTTATTTATAAAATGACATGTTGCCGCAATATAGGTCATAGCGCTTGTATATAAGTGACTGACTTTGCTGTGTATTGCAGATTTATGTAAAATAATGATTCTGTCGAGTTTCAGCTTAGGAATTTTATGTTTTACTTTCGGAATATTTAATTTTTTTTAGTAGCAAAAATCCTGTTTTCTGTGATTTTTTTATTTTCTACTTTATTTCCTTTTTTTTTTTTTTTTTTTTTAACATATCACTGATAACTTGCCATTCTATTTGACAATATTTAATACCAGTGTATTATTTGTTTAGCAACTTATCGGCTCCTTATGGGTCATTTAATATTTAAATTTCTTGAGAGCATTATTAACTTTCTTTACAAAAATGTATTGCTGGTATTTTGTTTCTTAATTTTTTCTTTTTTTTTTTTTTTTTTTTTTAATGCTGGTATTTTCACAATATAAATGCATTTTTATACTTTCATGGTGGGTGCTTGGCCCCAGTTTGGGGGTTAATTATTTGCCCACAGCTGGGACCCTAACAGGTGCTACCACACTGAGTCAGGGTGGGCTTGGGAACAACATCAATTAAGAGGTGGTTCCACGCTCCTCAAAACGTCCAATCTTGCTGATAGATATAGTTTATTGTTATACCCAAAGTGAAATACTGGTGTATAAAAACACCAAATACTAATATCTTGACTTCCTTTCTTCAAGAGTATAAGGTTATTAATGATGTTTTTGATTTTTTTTTTTTTTTTTCTCACTAGCACCCTCTTGGCCTTACACTGAAACTAATTCTTGTACAATTACTGAAATTAGGCAATGTCAAGCCTGGTCTAAAAGTACAAAGATGGGAATACTAGGTGCTGTAAGCTTTTTTGTGTGAGTGATGTTATGGATAATGGATCGGAATTATTAATCAGAAAGCCAAATTCCAATTCTCACTGGGTTCATTATGTCCACTTATGCATAAATACACTTAGAAAAGGTATGAATCCACCTTTTCTCCCTCAGCTATGGGTTAATTAGTAAGACTTGTATCACTAAACATTATTCCCCCCCCTCCTCAGATAAAAGCATTGTAAAGAACGAGTTCCAATCTTACTAACAAATTTTGAAATTAATTCTTTCAGATTGTTGAATGAAACAAATGAAATCTTTATTAGTTGATATTTTTTTTTATTTTATTTTGTAGGATTTTCAGTTCCAGCAACTTTGTAAAATTCGACTTTTCAAGGCACCAAACAGCATTGTTAAGCAGAGGACAGAGCTGTTGGCAAGTTCAAGCAAATATGGACTTTGTTTTGCAGGATTTGAAAGAAGTGAGATTTAGCCTTTCTTAATGAAACTTTAATTTTTGGTTGGTGAATCTGTTTTCTTGGCAAGCATTCTTAGAATGCTTGCCAAGAAACAAGTTTTATTCTATGAATTGTGTATGTAGTTCCCCATAACACAGGATTTGTTAAATACATAAAAACATATTTACTCTACTCTAATAATTACATATACTGATGAAACAAACGGCAAAATGTATAGAAATTTATTACAATCCTTGGTGAAACAAATTATACGAAAACTTCCATTCATTCTAACATACATAGTGTTTGTTTGTCTCCACTGGAACAAAACAAAAAAAAATAAAAAAAAAAATATGAAGTCTGGTTGACTGTTCCTGCACAAAAATGTATGTTTGTGGTGATGTTAATGGAAATAGGTAAAAAATAAAATGATTTCAGTTTCTGTTTAATAGGCATAAATATTATGACCATTTTCATTTATCTATCTCTATATAAAATTCTGCATCTTCTGTTTGTCCGTCCATCCGTCAGTCACACCCTCTAAAATAGCCATATATTGACCTGTCAAAACCAAATTTGGGGGAAAGGTACAAACAGGTAAGGGGGTACAAAGTACAGTTAGTTTTACTATTTACTAGTGTGTGTAGCTTAGTACAATAGATTTTCATTAAGATTTTGGTAAAATTAAAATTTTTATTGTTTAACATACCAAATACTCCCACTAGTCTATATATAAATTCTGTGACTTGTTAGTCTGTCCGTCACAGCCTCTAAAATAGCCAGACCTTGATCAATCCAAACCAAATTTTGGGGAGAAGTACAAATAGGCAAGTGGGGGTGCAAATTACAGATTTTTTTTTTTTTTTACTAAGGTGTATAGCTTAGTTGCCAGTGTCTAATATATAGAGAATGAAGGAGGTTAGAATATGTCTCATCCGGTTCAAATATGAAAGGCAAAATACGCTGAATTATGAAATTTTGATTTGGTATCGTTTCATTTTAAAAGATGTAAATTAGAGTATTTCTCCCCCAAAATATGACTTTTTTTTTTTTTTTTTATCATTCTAGTGCACATAACACACTTTATATTTTTTCACAATAACTTTTTTATTTGTCCAACAGTTATGAGCATCTATCTATATACTCCTGAACACACAAAGTCGAAGTGGAATTTCGGTCAGTTCTTCAAAAAAACTGCTCGAGTTCCTTTGGTACTTCCTTTTTGGGGAACCCAGAAATTTCACCAATCGTGTTGAACGGGTGTTCCCTCAGAGAGGGGCCCTGTGCTTTGAGTACTTATTGGGACAAACTCAGCCTAGAATTTGTGCATAGGATCCATCGCTGAAGAGGCTGGAAAAAAATACCTGACTCCTCCTGCTATCGCCTACCTTTACAAGAGCCAGATCTGGTTATAAGGGCAGGAGTTGCCTAGTTTTCACTTTCAACTTTATCAAAAGTTTAAAAGTGTTTCCGAATCCTTGTAGGTGATGAATTATTTTCCACCCTACCAGAGCTGTGGAGTCTGGGTCAGAAACAATTAAGGAGTCACTGGAATGGTAAAACTATACCGGCTCCAACTCCAGTTAAATTTATACTTTATGTAAAAAGTCTTACATTATAAGATTTTTATTTTTATTTCTTTTACTGTATATTTACTATTTCCTTTAAAGAAATTCATTGCAACTTCTTTTTTAAATTCATTTTATTTTTTTGTAGTTATTTTGTATTTGCAAAACTACATATGTAAAAAAAAAAATCTTACATTATAGAATTTTTACATCCATTTCAACTTCTGTTATAAAGTATTTTTATTTTTGTTCTGTGTTTATTTTTTCATTTTCAAAGATATAAGTCTTACATTATTGAATTTTTATTTCTTTTATATCCTTTCAAAGATTTAGTCTCTAATTCTGTTAGAAAATATTGAAGAATGAATAGCTATGATATAAAAGCCGCACTATCTTTATCCTTTGATATAAACCAGTTATAATATAGGCCTACTCGTTAGGGGCATGTTGTAGGCCATAATCACTTAATTACATAAAGGGGAGTTGGAATCAGAGGTGCCAAAAATAGAGGAGTTGGCAGTTTTGTGTTCAGATGAACTACACTCCTTAGTTCCACCAGTCCTCATTTTTATGGCTAAGACCCACCATACCATGCACGTTGTTGTGAACTACCCTCATTTCCTTCGTATCTGCCTGGTGGTGTAAGTTTCACTCAAGCTGCTTCTTCCCATGAACCACTGCCTTGTGGAACCAACTCCCAAGAGGATGCTTCCCTGATCACTACAGTCTTAAGCTATTCAATAGGGTTAACCATTATAAGATATCCATATAAGCTGTATCTCTTACTCTGTAACCCTCTAACTCAAGTGCCTCTTAGGCCTTGTACAGGGTGAGCATCATTATAAAAAAAAAAATCTTAGGCGGCAAATAATGACCCTAAACTCCATCCCAAAAGAGAGGTACTGCCTGGGAAGAAAGCATCCTGGGTTTGAGCTGATATTAATTTAAACAACCTTATCAGCCTGGCTGATCCAGGGGCAAAAAGTATTTATCTACAGGCCCACATTGTAACAGAATGTGACGCAAGGTCAAGGTTTAATGTGTGATTTCAGAAAGCCGTTAAAAAAGATTGCTTAAGCCCCCTTGGCACTTTGCCTTTTGGGCATGCCTGAGGTGCCCGGTAATAATCCCAGCTCCCTTCTAAAGGAGAGGTACTGTCTGGGGGTATGGTACCCTGGGGCTTGAGCTAATATTAATTTCAAACCACCTCAGCTGGTACCAGGGAAGTATTTTTACCTAACAGTTACAGATTGACAATATGCACTGTTAAAAACCTCGTAACATTCTGTATATAAAGATGTCAGTTTCTCCAAACGTTTTTTAAGTTGTTGAAAAATTCTACAAGAATGTGCATTTATTAATATTTTTCTTTTGTTTTAGATCTGCTGGTCTTCAAGACTCAAGAGATTTTGTCTCTTGATGAAAAGAAAAAAATGGAAAAGAGAAGTCAGTCCATTATTGAGAATTTCCCTGTCCTCAAAAATCTTACCCTTTCTGGTCATGTACTTAACATTGCTACGAGTTGTGATGACCTGACTCTCCTGGTTGGTATAGAAACAGCTACCAACATCCAATTGCTATTCTTTGACATCAGAGCCTTCTGCCTGCCAGTGAGACCATTTTTTTTCTTTACCCTCTTTTAATCTCTCATTACCAAAGTGAATCAAATTATAAATGCTTTTCTGCTTTATTGGAATAAAATGTTACCAATGTCAGAGTAGTGATAGAATAGGGGTTGTAAGTGCTGAAAAGTTATTAACCTGACCAGTAGGTGAATCCAAACAATCTGTATGATTTGGAGTATGGTGGTCAGAGGGAGAACTTTCCAGCCCCTTCTTTATTGGGGGTGAAACTCCCAAGGATTAAATGCAGAATACTTGTGACTTGGTCAGCATGATAAACTTGCTAACCATTGTGCTGCATCCACAATACAATTGTCAGGTGCTGATTAAAAACTGACCATTGCATAATTTAAATATTGATATATATATCTTACTCTTATGATAGTGGAGCAGTCCATTTATTTACAGGTATCAGAACCATAGTTTAATATATGTTTGTGTGTATGTATATGTTGTGCTGTGTGCCAGAAGGTATGCCAAAGTAGACACATCAAAGCAAACCATCAGCAACAGTAGATGCACTGGCAGCAAATTGAAAACTTACAAAAGATCAAACTGCATAAACTTTCAGTTTATGTCAAAAGTATTGCAAGTTCCTTTGCTGGCTTTAAAAGCCATTGTTGCTAACATAACAACGCAGAGACTATAATTTAAAATCAAAATAACAATGTTATTTAAAAACAGTAATTTGACTTCCACTGTAGCTAAATAGTATAGGACATTAAGCTATATGACGGTTCTGTGTGGGATACAGGTTCGATTCCTGTCGGATAACATATTTTCTATGAAATTTTTCAGGCATTCAGGCCGGTAAATGTATTTAATTAATACTGTTTATTATAAACAGAGCATTTACTTAAATATTTGTAATTACAAAAAATAACATATAAACAGAAACTCTCATGTGAGAAGAGAGCTGAATGCATAATTTTAACTGATAAAAAGAAAAAATTAATTTTGTGAGAATATGCTGAATAATTTATGGAGCAATTTGTGTCATTAATTTGTCTTCAGGGTTTTTATTTTCAAATGTTTATCTGACCAAAATTTTTTTTTTTTTTTTTTTTGTTTATAGACTGATTGCGGACCATTTTTGGTGCATCATATCGAAGCTGGAAATCAAATCACTGATCTTGCATGGAATCCCACAACCCCTGAACTGCTTGCTCTGTGTTTGTCCAGTGGCATCATCAAGATCCTCCATGTTTCTACAGAAGCGAAAGTGGTTCATCTTCCTGGCACCAATGCTACTTGCTGTAGGTGATCTTAACAGAATGTTTAATGAAGTTGTATTTACCATCTATACTTTTGTATAAGTAACAGGAAAAAACAAGACAAAAACAACTGATAAAATGGAGGGGGTAGGCTTACATTTGAGGTCAATATTTTGCCAATTTTTGTCAACTTCAACATCAATGTGAAAAAAAAAATAATAAAGAGAGGAAGAGATATGTCCATATATCTAACATGATTGATTGACAATGAAACACTGTTTTAAGTAGATTTTAGAAGCATTTTACAGTCTTTGTCTTCATTTGTTCTATTATGTGTGGCCTGTCCCTGAATTAATTTTCATTTATTAAATGTTCCAATCAATTTGTATTTAAACAGATATTCTGTTGTGTGTTCCAGAAGTTACACACATACACTAATATATATATATATATATATATATATATATATATATATATAATCTCTTATATAGGCGTTATTTTTAGTTGGTCCATGTGTTGCTATGATTGTCAACTCGTTAAACTAGTATAACCATTGGTGACAATTTTGGACCATAGATTTAATTCTCATGGGAATGACAACAGCTCTTGAAGCCAGCAAGTGACTTGCAGTTGCTTATTGCAGATGCAGCAAACATTGTTCTTCTGTACAGGGCTTGGCCTCTTTTGTAAATTCTGTCCTGGTTGCTTGTGGGTTTTCATGTGACTAGTTGGACCAGGGTAATTTCTGCAGGTTTTCTGAAAAACCAAATACAATACAGAAGCATTATTTGGGATTATACAGCCTTAAATGGTAAAACCTTATTATGGAAAGGACTTAACAAAATATATAATCATTTTTTGTGACATGGGTAAACTAGGATTAATAGAAAATTCTACCGGATGTAAAATGGGTCTTATTTTTCCTATTTTTACAAAGTAGTAATCTGACTTCCACCTCCTAAATTACGAGCCATTAACATAATAATTGGAAAAAAAATATATAATTACTAATATAATGAAATGAATTAAGTCTGACAATTATTTAATATATTTTCTGTTTATACATTAGTTTTACAGATACAATTTATTTAAGTAAATGCTCTGTTTTTTTTTAATTAAACAGTATTAATTACATTTACCAGCCTGAATGTTCAAGAAATTTTTTAGAAAATATGCATTCTCTGACAGGAATTGAACCTTCTATATGGAAACCATCATTTGATCAGACATGCTATACCATTTAGCAACAGAGAAGCATCTTGTTAGCAAAGTCAAAATTACTGTTTATAAACACAATCTTTGGCGACTTCTCTCGATTATTCATATCTGCTTATGAAAAATATCTTAATGTAAACAGTGACAACATATAATGAAATGGATTAAATCTGACAATTATTTAATATATTTTCTGTTTATAGGTTATTTTTATAGATACAATTTATTTAAGTAAATGCTCTCTTAATTAAACTGTATTATTTACATTTACCAGCCTTGATTGTTAGAAATTTTGTAGAAAATGTGTTCTCTGACAGGAAGCAAATCTGTATTCCTATATGAAAATAGTCATTTGATCTGTCGTGCTATAACAATTAGGTACAGAGAAGTGTCTGATTAGTTGGTTTATAAACAATAATTTGAACTTTGCTAACGCGATGCTTCTCTGTAGCTAAATAGTATTGTACATCAGATCAAATGACTGTTTTCATATAGGAATACAGATTCAATTCCTGTCATAGAACGCATATTTTCTACAAAATTTCTTGAACATTCTGGCCGTTAAGTGTAATTAATATTTTTTAATTAAAAACAGAGTATTTATTTAAATAAATTGTATCTATAAAATGAATGTATAAACAGAAAATATATTAAATCTAATTACTAATATAAAAAATAGCCTAATAAGTAAGAATTTAACAAAATAAACTTCTTTGTAATGGTGTCCTGGGTAAGATGATAAACTACATCTGACAGCAAGGCCTCTGATCAGGAGGTTTTGAGGCGCGTGGAACCACCTCTTAATTTCTGGTGTTCCCAGGTCCACCCTGACCTGGGGTTGTAGCACCTGTTAGGGTCCCAGCTATGGGCAAATAGTTAACCCCAAACTGAAATTAAAACGCTATGAAAGTGTAAAAATAGGTTTTATTACCAGCAAATACATTTTTGTAAAAAAAATTATTACCAGTAAAGAATTTTTGAAGAAAAGAATACATTTTGGGAAAAAAATATTACTACCAATATATTTCTGAACAAAAATATTACCAGCAATAAAAATCTTGTTGGCATTAAATAACCCATTATGGTTGATATGCTGTAAGACAAAACAAAGCAAACCAAACCATCATTTGTAATGGCATTGTTAAAGTAGAACAAAGACAAGGACATTTATCCGAGTCTGAATTATGCATAAATTAGTATTAACATAAAACTTTACTGGACATAAAGTGGAGAGTACTTTTTCTATTGTTATTAAGTAGTAAACTGATCACCCCCCTTTGCAGAATAACTATATATATATATATATATATATATATATATATATAATATAATAATCAGAAAAATAATTCAAGACTCGGATGAAAAACCTTGTGCTAATGACAATAATAATAACAAAAAAATAAGCTGTTTGTCTTTTTTTTTTTTTTTTTTTTTTTGTAATGCAAAGAACCTGCAATGTTATTGGTCTTGACTGGGTATCTCAGCTTCAGTCACTTTCCCCACTGGTGTAACATAGCATCTCTGTTTTTTCTATTAATACTTATAGTAATTGCTCTGATGAACTTTCCTCTGTGGTGTGTAGATTTTTTGAATTTAAGTTTACTATAAGATTGACGGCAAGGTCTCATGAAATGGCTAGGTATAACTGTAAGTTGTATGCTAAGAGTTTTCTCTCTCGCACTTCTCACTTGTGGAATTCGCTTCTGACTTCTTATTTCCCAGTCAACTTTGATTTTCAAATATTTAAATTCAATGCCAATCATTATCTTCTGTCTTAATTCCTGTTCTTTTATTTTTCTCTTTCCTTAATAATATTTTTTTTTCCTTATATTTTTAACGCTCAGCAACCATTTACATCTTAGTGGTTTTATTGCCTTGCTTGGGGTGAAATAATTAAAAGGTAATGATGACCTGACTTGTAATAAAAAAGTAACAAAAATTAAGGTAAAAGAAATAAAAACGTTTTTTTTATACATTAGCCTGCATGCCTGAGTAATTCTGTGAATATGATTTCATGATGTTGTCAATTATTAGATAAGTGAATCCTTTAAAAAAAAGAAAAAGAAAAAAAAAAGGTGGCTGCAATTTGGGAGAATCTCATATCTCCTGAATATAAATTATCCTCTGTTTTATTAATTCCAGTTTCGTTTTGTTTTCTTTCCATAACAATGTTGTCTTTTTCTCATGTTCTCTCACATATGGTAAAATCCTTACATCTTAGTCCCTTTATTGCCTTGCTTGGGATTAAAAAAATCCAGAAAATAACATGATTATTAATATAAAATTTTACTGGACATAAAGTGGGAGATATTTATTCGATTTTAATTAAGTTATAAATCAATTGCTCGCTCAAATTGCTACATATAAATAATTATAAAAGATGTATTTAAAAAAAAAAGCATATGAAAAACCTAATAATATAATCATAAACCTACTGTCATGTTATTTATTAGTTAAAAAAAAATTGTTTTTTTTTTTTTTTTCTACAGAAAATTAAATTTTTGGATCAATACAGTGTTTAGAATATCAGGTGAGAGTGAGTACATTTCTGATAGGAGGGAGTGTATCTGAAAGAGTTACTGATTGTGGAGTAACCAAAATGGAGGTTGCAAATGAAATGGTAATCTTTTATAACATCAACAAAATACAATACTTGCCAAATGAGAGTGAGTGCATCCCTGTAAATAGAATTGTTACCTTAAGTTGACTTGATGTGGGATTCTGTTGTGTCGTGCAGAAATAAATATTGATTCCTGTTTTTTTTTTTATTTGGCAGTGTGTTGGAGTCCAAAGGGTAAACAAGTGGTAATTGGAACACAGCAAGGTGAATTAAAACAGTACAGCCCTGCCCTGGAGCTGAAGAAAAATTGGCCCTGCCCGAACAACCTTCAAACTCAAGTTAAAGGTGAGACCAGAGAAAGCATTGTCCTAGATTGAATATGTTCAAATTTGGCTAAAATAATTGACCACCTGGTGTTGGTCAATCTGGCTAGAAATGGCCTGTAAACAATCATTCTTTAGCAAATTTCTCAGTGAGGTTTAAAGTATGTCAACTGCATCCCCTGCAGAAGGAAAAGAACCCCCTCTACCAAAAGGGGCCCCTCATAACTAATAATAAAATAGAACAATTATAAGAATTATACTGTAATGAAAGTTATGTGATCGATACAAGATTCGTTCTTACCGTAGATCATATTAGGCACAATAAGAGATTAACAATAATAACTAATAATAGAACAATGATAGCAATATATTGTAATAAAGGTTATGTGACGGATAGGAGATTCATTTTTATTATTGGTGCAAACCCTAAGAATATGATTTTTTTTCTTCTTTAATTCAAGAACTTTCAATTTGCCACTTAATGGAAACATTTTTTTGGCATGTCTGAATTGTTGGCATCACTACTCTTGTAGAGAAACTATTATTAATCCAAACACTATTTTGCAAGTTGACTGAGATTACCTTACATTGAGGAAAATTTAATCCTGGGTTAGTGTTGTGAGTGGGGAGAACTATATTTTAATGTATTAATGTTCGGTTAATGTTTCAATTGCTAATTTAACAAACCTATTTTATTTGTTTATTTATTTATTTTTTTTTTTAAAGTTCTTGATGTTGTCTGGGTCTCAACATATATGTTTATTGCCGCATATGAAACGCCAGATGCTGATGACCAACCAATCGTCCAGATCGTCAATGTGCCGGTAGGTATGATTTTTATGTTAACTAAGTCTAGCACAAAGCTACAATAAGGGTGCAGGTCGTTGAAATTGAACTTGCTGCATAAGCAAATGGGTTTGCAAGACAAACTTGCACAATCTCGAGTTTTTTCTCAATCTGTTGATTGACTGGCACAAGGCCATAGTAGCAAGGCACCCAGTGAAAATCTGATTTGCTACACTAAAGAATTGGTCTGATAGAAAATTTATCCATTGTCTAAAATATTGGTTTGAGAGAAAAGCTTTCTGGCCGTTAAACAATTTCATGTACATGAACCAGTCGTAAAAAAATTTGGTTATATCCAAGTATTTCTGGAATTTTTTTTTTTTTTTTTTTTTAATCGGAATCATCCCATGCAAGGCAGTAATGCCACTAAAACATGAGGGGTTACAGGATGTGGAAGAATTAGGAACAAACATTTATGATGACCAGAAAGAGAAAAGACTAATCAGGTTGACTATAGATAGTGATTGACATTGCATTTAAATTTTTACAGATTAAACTTAGCTGGAAAGCATGGAGTCAGAAGGGATTTCTACAAGCGAGAAGTGTTAGAGAAAAAACTACTAGCATATAATTTACAGCTACATCTAGCCGGCTCAACTCTAAATTGATGCGATCTCAATGACAGTCTAGTACTGTGCTTAAATTCAAAAAGTCCATGTAACCTGGCAAAGAGCTGATCCGAACAAATTACCATGAAAATATTTATAGAAAAAAAACAGTGTCGCAACCTTATGGTGGTGGGAAATTGACTGAAGCTGGGCTGCCAGATCAGAACCAATAATATTGCCGATTCTTCTTTGGATCTTATCAAGGAGCTCAAGTTAAATAGCAGAAGGACCGGACCATATGTGGCATCAATATTCTAAGCATAGACAAATGGTAGGTTTATAGATCAGGACCAATAATATTGCTGATTCTTCTTTGGATCTTATCAAGGAGCTCAAGTTAAATAGCAGAAGCACCCGGACCATATGTGGCATCAATATTCTAAGCATGGAAAAATGGTAGACGAAAGGACCAATAATATTGCTGATTCTTCTTTGGATCTTATCAAGGAACTCAATATAAATAGCAGGACACACCATATGTGGCATCAATATTCTAAGCATGGATGAATGGTATATTTATTATCTCAGGACCAATAATACTGCTGATTCTTCTTTGGATCTTATCAAAGGAATCTCATGTTAAATAGCAGAAGCATCGGAAGTATTGGCATCAATATTCTAAGCATGGACGAATGGTAGGTTTTATAGATCAGGACCAATAATATTGCTGATTCTTCTTTGGATCTTATCAAAGAACTCAAGGTAAATAGCACTATCAAAAGGACCATATGTGGCATCAATATTCTTATGCATGGATTCATGGTAGGTTTATAGATCAGGACCAATAATATTGCTGATTCTTCTTTGGATCTTATCAAAATAACTCAAGGTAAATAGCAAGAAGCACCAGGACCATATGTGGCATCAATATTCTAAGCATGGACGAATGGTAGGTTTATAGATCAGGACCAATAATATTGATGATTCTTCTTTGGATCTTATCAAGGAGCTCAAGGTAAATAGCATGAAGCACCGGACCATATGTGGCAATAATATTCTAAGCATGGACAAATTTTCATGGTTTATAGATCAGGACCAATAATATTGAATTCTTCTTTGGATCTTATCAAAGGAGCTCAAGTTAAATTAGAAGAACCCGGACAATAATAAACATTCAATATTCTAAGCATAGATTTTGGTAGGTTTATAGATCAGGACCAATAATAGTTGCTGATTCTTCTTTGGATCTTATCAAGGAGCTCATAAATATTAAAAGCACCAGACCATATGTGGCAGCAATATTCTAATTATGGACAAATGGTAAATATAGATTTTGACCAATAATATTATTGATTCTTCTTTGGATCTTATCAAAGGAACAAGGTAAATATATAGCACCTCCATATGTGGCATCAATATTCTAAGCATGGATTAATGGTAGGTTTATAGATCAGGACCAATAATATTGCTGATTCTTCTTTGGATCTTATCAAGGGCTCAAGTTAAATAGCAGAAGCACTGGACCATATGTGGCATCAATATTCTAAGCATGGACAAATGGTAGGTTTATAGATCAGGACCAATAATTATTTCTGATTCTTCTTTGGATCTTATCAAAATAGCTCAAGTTAAATAGCAGAATCACCGGACCATATGTGGCATTAATATTCTAAGCATGGACAAATGGTAGGTTTATAGATCATTACCAATAATATTGCTGAATTCTTCTTTGGATCTTATCAAGGATCAAGTTAAATAATAGACAAAAAATATTAAGCATGGAAATGGTGACAGAATTAGGACCAATAATATTTTTATCTCCTTTGGATCTTATCAAGGATCTTGGTAATTATTTTACCCGGACCATATTTATCAATATTTTAAAAACAATGGAATATTTATAGTCATGCCATTATTGATTCTTCTTTGGATCTTATTTTCAAGGGATCTCAACCTAAATGGAAGGAAACCCGGACCATATGTAGCAAAAAATATTCTAAGCATGGACGAATGGTAAATTGTAGATATCTTAATTCTGAAATATCATCCGACATAGTGAATTGACTTTCTTAGCGGCTAACCTAGCAGTTGGAATGAAAACAGTAATGTTACCTACCCTGAATCTATCATAAAAATTTGGGTTATAGCTTTTTGTATTGTGTGTGTGTACTACATTAAGCTATAACATAAAAATATATATACACACATATATAAAAATTCAGCCCATTCCGCTACCTTAGTTTCAACCTTTCAGTATCTTCAGGCAATTTCACTCAATTGTTTTCTTAATGCTTTATTTTTTTTTTTTTTATACGTGTATTGAACACTTTTTAGTACTTCTGTTTCCTGGCTGGAAGATTACATTAAAGCATGAAACACTGTTGCCACTTGGTGTTGAATTCTGTGTCCATAAAACCTATAATTAATGCCAAACTTTCATTTTTGTAATTTTATGGTGGACATGAATGCATTAATGTTGCTTTAACTTGTAGAGTTATGTTACTGCAACCGCATGCATTTTGGAAATTGACCATACAAATATTTTTCAGCCAATTAGCATGTATAATGTCAGAAAATGTGTTTTATGATTTTGTTTATTACGGCCTGATTTCTTGACTCATTCAAATTTATCTTCACTCTTTATAGAAAGATGGTGGTCCAAGCTTTATAAATTTTCGCGACCCCTGTTATGGTTCAAGTGAAGAACGACATAAAAAGTATTTCTTTCACCTGTTGCTCAAATGGTATGTATTTTTCCATGTTTTTTCTAAATTATAAAATCCTTTAAGAAGCAATTGTTTCAATAAAATATGACCTACATTTACTCTGCTTTTTGAAATTATTATATGATTATTTTTATGAGATAACTTGCAGGCTCATACCAAGTTAATATTTTTTTTATTCATCTGCATCAATAATTGTTATGCTACATGCATATACCACAGACTGTCTACTTAACGACAAATGTTTAACCAATAAAATGATGTACGAAGCTGCTGTAACTAATAACATTCACACAGACGAAAATGTTTATATAGGTGCAACAGAAAAAAAAACCCACTAAAAGAAAGATATAACCACAAAATGTCTATATATATATATATATATATATATATATAGATCCAAAAAGAAAATAATTCCACACCAAAATCAAATGGGAAATAATAAAAAGTGCAGCCCTGTACAGTATTAACAGCAAAAACTGCAGACTATTCTTAGAGGAAAAATTGCAAATAAGTAGTATTAGAAATCAAAACAAACTATGAAAGAAGAAAAATGAAATAGTGGGTAAGCGTAGACATATTAACAAATATTTACTTTGCCATGTAAGCAAGAATTAAAATAAATAAGAAATAAATTGTGTATATATATATATATATATATATATATATATGGCAGGGTGTGTGGGTGTAACGAATGCACAGCCGCAATTTTCAACGGATTTACACCAAAATTTACATGCACATGTAGCGGGAAGGCCAAGACCTACTTTGAATTTCCAAACTCCCATTGATAGTGGAAATAATCAATGTTTTCATTCTTCTACTGCTGTTTTCATGTAGTTTACGGCCATTTTCTATTGGCCATAGTGTGAGAGCCAACAGCTGACTGACAAATTATGTTAACTAGCATGCAAAAAAAAAAAAAAAATCGATAGCTGCTTTCATCACAAGTGGGAAAAATTTAAATCTGCATGGCACTTTTACTCCAATTGGCTCATTCGCTTGCTTAAACTCAACGTTGATTCTGATTCCGCCAGAACTGGGTTGGGTGTGAAAAAAGTATTTGTTGTTAACATTCTTTTTTCATTTGGTTTTTTCCAGTTATTTTAGTCCTTTTTTTAAAGCTGATTGTTTTGTGTTCATTTTGTTTAGTTCTTTTTTTTGTAACAGATTTAATGTTTAGTATGGAACTTAGAAAAATTTGCAGTGTGAGATAGGCAAGAAGTAAGGCATGTAGCAACATCAGCACGGCAAAGGACACTCCTTTAAAGGCAAGGAAGGGCAAAAATATTTCAAGTCAAGTGATAGCAATTGCTGTATGAGTCGTATAATTTTTTGAATCAAGCATGGGCAACGCTTGAAAGATGCTGCTATATATATATATATATATATATATATATATATATATAAAATTAGAATGGACTTTTATTCATCAGATGGATTTTTATCACTTTAAATGTAATTTTTAGTGGATACTCATATTTGAGTAGGCACTCCATTTATTTATTAAACAGTATTTATTTTGTCTACCAGCCTGAATGTTTGAGTAATCTTATTACCAGAAAATTTGTGTTCTTCAGCAGGAATCAAACCTGTGTCCCTAATGTTTAGCCCGGCAAGCCTTACCAACTTGGCCAGGTCAAATTTTGTGCATTTAAATGAAATATATATATCTCTCAAATCTTTTCATATCCACATAATTTTGTATCCCAACAAAAACAAAGAGAATTTTAGAATGCATTTTTTATTAATCTGACAGATTTTTATCATTTTAAACGTTTATTTTTAGTGGATACTCTAAAACTTAAGATAATATCAAGCCAAATTAAAACAAACTTCTAACAACTAATTAATATAATGAAATAATGGGTAAACAGATATTTACTTCACCATTTAAGCATTAATTAAATTATGTGCATACATATATATATATATATATATATATATATATATATATATATATATATATATATATATATATATTTTCATTAAATAATATATATTATTTTATGTAATTTTTTTTTATATATATATTTTATGTCAATTTTTATATACATATATATATATATATATATATAAGTAAACATTGTAGTCAACACTAAGATGAAACAGCCTCTTGCATCTGAGTGTTGACTTCAATGTTCACTTTTATATTTATATTTACATACACTCTATCTCTGATATTGAGCACTTTATCCCATAAATATAGCACACCTTAAAACTATAATTCTTCATATATATATATATATATATATATGCGCGCACACACACGCACACACACACTGTATATTTTCATGTATAACGCAACCTTTAGATAAGACAAAGTCAAAAAAAAGTACCAAATTTTCATGAATTTATTCTATACCTGTAGTATAAGATGACCGCCTATTGATTATATAAAAATGTTATTAGAAATGTTATCACTTAGTATATTCTTATAGATTCACAATAAACTAAATAACAAAACTGATTCTATATCATGTTTTTCCTACACTTGTTCCTTAGAAAAGGGAAAGCATTGTTTTGTTTACATTTCATCACATGATCTCTTGCAAATACTAAGTCTTCTATCTAAACAGTTACAAACAGCTTGGTGTACTAATGACCATTTATTTACTTCATCAAAAATCACAAAATACCACTAATAACAATACAATAATAGTACATTCCACTTTCAACATTTTTTTTATTCAGTCTGTTCCTAACTTCAGTCTAAGCCAGTTGAAAGTTTAGTGAAAGGTAAAGGTTCCTGTGAAGTCAATGATAACTCATGTTTACATTTCCTCAGCTGAGCTTGCATGGATACAAGTTGATTTCATTGATTTAGAATTATTCTTTGAATAGGTAATTTATTATGAAGTTATGCCAGTAATATATAAGGTAGAAATGGTCTCATTACTTTTATTATCAGTTTATTTGATAATGTGTACCTCTTCATGGACATTATTGGTTGTCAGACTGAACATTACTCAGAATTTGTTTCTTTTTTAGAATTGTAGTTTAAGACAACCCCCAATTTTTAAGGGTGATTTTTGGGATCTAAAAGTCATCTTATACATGGAAATGTACTGTGTGTTTATATATATATTTTCAAACACCAAAGAAATAAACCTATAAACTTAACCTCCCATAATTAATACCCTAATATTTAAGATACCACCAATCCAAATAATAACAAATTACTAAATAAGATAAATGAAATAGTGGGTAGGTGCAGACATTTAAGCAAAACATTTATTTCAACATTTAAACCTTTATTAATATGTTAATGCAAACATGCAATGCAACATTCGCACAAGCTTTTCACTGATCAGCCAATAATCACCCCATATTGCTTTTTGATCCTGGATCTTGTTGCTATGTACCAAAAGCTGGGCAAGGGCCCACTACATGTTCACATGGTAACAAGATCAAAGACAAGTGTCATGTTGAGTAATGATAATATGGACCATGTTTCCCATATTATAGAATAGATGTTTTTTAGGGATTCACCTGGGTAGGTAGGTGATACTGGAAAATTTCTGCTATGTGGGTCTCCTTCACCTATCCACCTTATACTAACTCCTTGTCCATCTAATTCTGATGTGGGAGCTGGCAATATGAATAGATGACATTGGAATCACATAACGGGAAGTTTGTCTCCCAGCCTTGGCGAACCAGAACTGACACTATCCCAAGCATAACTGTTAATATAGACCAGCCCCAGGATATTACCTATTTCCAATTTTGTTATCAATTGATCTCCAAAAACCCTTCATCTAGTCATTTACTTCCCTGTTCTCCTTTGATCAAAGTGGATGCCACTTAAAAGGAATCATTTGCTGGCTATCAAAGAGAACCACTTGAGATCAAGATAAATCCATATCTTCCCTTTCTACATGGATGTCCATAGTTTCACAATTAAAACAAAATTTTTGTATCATAATCTTCCCCTTGGTCTCCATGTCAGGAGTGGTGTACAGTCAGGCACATAAGGTTGGAATGTTGGAGTTTTTGGGAAGTTTGAAACATGTATTACAGAACAAATAATCTTAGAGAACATTTTGAAAAACATTAAACCAGAGAGCATACTGCAATTTGTCAGAAAGATTGGACTTTACAATAATTTTTTTAAATAAAAGAATAATAATAATAATAAATGTTTACAAACAAAAAAATTTACCTTCAATCATTCTTAACAAACAATAAAATTTGTTTTCAACAAAAGCTGATGAACTTTGAAACTTCTTCTCTGCTATACTTGGGAAAAAGTTTCCTTCAACCATACCTAACAAAATATAAAATATATTTATAACACAATCAGTTTGGCTCTAAATGACCCACAAGAAGTAGAGGTGCCATTAAACACAATCAGTCCCCCTTGGTCTCATAAGTAATTCAAATTTTTTTTTTTTTTTAATATTTTAAACCCATTGTACATTTCCCAGAATCCAGTAAGTAATTTTTTTTTTTTTTTTTTTAAATCCTTCCCTCAGGTCTAATACCAAATTTGAAGGCTTGACATGAAATCATTTGGTTGTTCATAGCAACCAAACTCTTCTCAGTTATATATAATACATAATTACTCTTCTTTTGTTAATTTGAAAATCAGGGACCTGGTTGTGTTGGCATCCAGCAATTCTTTGGAAGCTGCTGTTATTGCGAAAAATCTTGAAACAGAGGTAAGTATTTTCCCCCACCCCCATGAACCTCACTTCTTTCCCTTTATTATGTTCATACATCACCACACAGTAACCCACTACCTTGAGTGGCTCGTGGGTCTTGTGTTGGGTGAACATTAGTATAAAAAAAAAAACTGGTTATATTAAATTTCCTTTTTTATTTTGATCTTCTTAAAGTGTGTGTGTGTGTATATATATATATATATATATATATATATATATATATATTGTCACAATAACTTCAAAATTAATTTCCAGAATGAGAAATCTTTTTATGTTGTTCATCAACAATCATACATTATTTTTCATTATTATGTTGTGATGGCTGCTTCTTGAATGGGACATGTCCTGAAACGTTCAGGATTAATCCATGGTACCTGAGGTGTCCTAAACCTTAATTTCCAGCCATGACAGTTGCCTTCCACCATTTTTTTTTTTTTTTTTTTTTTTTTTAAAAACATGAGGGAAAAACAAAATTAAAACAAAGAAGTACAGAAGACCAGCAGTGCAATAATCAATAATTTGTTATTTATATTTAATACTAAATTTTCTTTAACTTTTTTTTTTTCTTTTCACGTATTTATTTGTGTTTATATGAGTATATGCAGTACAATTTTTTTTTTTTTTTTTTTTTTTTTTTTTCTTCTCCAGAAAACCTGGGAACATTGGATGTTGGAGGACAGTGCTCGAGCTGAGGTGCCTTTGACAGAAGACAAAAGTGATAGTTTCCCAATGGGTGTCACAGTTGATTTTTCTTCTTCACAACAAATCCTTGTCAGTATGTATGCAATGAGTTTCTCAATTTTTATTAGCATTATAGAAAAAAAACAAGTGCATTTTCTTTAGTTTTGGTAATTGATGAAATTCAACACAGGAACAGTTTATTCATCATCCACTTACTTCTGACTAAATATTTAATGAGCAGGGCTGTGGGGTCTGAGTCAGAAGCAATTAAGAGGTCATTGGAGTTGGAGTCTGTAAAACTATACCGACTCCAACTCCAATTGAATTTACACTTTATGTAAAAAAAATCTTACATTATAGAATTTTTATTTTTATCTCTTTTACTGAATATTTACTATTTCCTTTAAAGAAATTCATCTCAACTTTTTTTTAAAGTCGTTTTTTTTTTTTTTGTAGTTATTTTGTATTTGCATCACTATATATGTAAAAAAAAAAATCTTATGTTATAGAATTTTTATTTTTGTTATGTCTTTTACATCCTGTAAAAGATTATATTTCAACTTCTGTTATAAAGTAGTTTTATTTTTGTTCTGTACTTATTTCTTATTTGCAAAGATCACACACACACATACATATATATATACATATATAATATATATATATATATATATATATATATATATATATATATATTTATTTAAATTTTAAAGAAATTGGTAAATCCAAGGAGGATGAAATCCTGAAAGACTAATGTGAAGAACAGAGTTAATATTTAAATTGCAAATATATATAATTGATAATCATACCATTACAATAATTTATTTTATTGTATATCCAATTTATTAAGGATTTTGGGATTTTTTTAAACACTTTTAAAATTGTTGGAATTGTTTACTCTGATGATCCGAAAATTTTTAAAAAAAATTTTGGTGAAATAAATTATTGTAATGGTACCTTTAAATGGTCTGTTTTTCATTAAATTTATATATATATATATATATATATATATATATTTATATAGCATTTTATTGTTCTTCTATGTCAGTGTTTCATTACAGGGTGAAATTCAAGAAAAAAAATAGTGGTGAGTTTTGGATTTTCATGGGTGAATTGTAACCACAGTAGGTTTAGTTGTGGAAGAGAGCAATTATAGAATTTGGCCTGTCACCTTGAAAAGGAGGTGGAGGGGAATGGCATTCTAACAAATGGTGAAAGGGGGACATGGGGTAAGCAAGGTTGAGAAACTCTGTTCTATATCCTTTCAAAGATTTTGTCTCTAATTCTGTTAGAAAATATTGAACAATGAATAGGTATGATATAAAAGCCGCAATAGCTTTTTTCTTTGATATAAACCAGTTATAATGATATAGGCCTACTCAAGTTTAGAGTGTATGCATAGGCTTTGAGATTTATAGGCCATAATCCTGCAAGGACAAATTATATCTTCTCTGACCTTCTGTGCAAGCAAATACATGCCCATTTGGTCAGAGTTGAATTTGGCCAATAACTTTTCAGCACCCACTATATATACAGTGATTTATTTTTTTTTCTCTGAATGTAAACATATAATTTGTCCTTGCAGGAGAAATTTTCTGAGATGAACAAACTTTGTAGTCCTGAAAAAGATTATCTGTTGTGCTGTCTTTCTTAATGTAGCTTCATGGTTTGAATGTCTATTAGTTCTGAAATTGATGCCAGACCTCATGTGGAACTCCTACGTACACTCCATCGATAAGGATGCTGGAAAAATGGTCAGTTCCTTGTGTCACTCTAGAAAATACCAGACTCCTCCTGCCATGCTCCATCAAGAGTCAGATCAGACCAAAAATGGAGCATTGCTACTCTCTTGGGGCTGAAACTTTTCAATCTATATGTTTTAGCTTTGACAATGTTTAAAAGCATTTACATGGACTTGTGGATGATAAATTTTTTCCACTTTACAACTCTTTTTTTTGCCGAGACAAAAACATTACTAACCTTTCATTACTCTATCACTATTTTCATGGCAAATGTTCATACAAATTACATTCCATCATCCCCCTAGTCCAGGGCTTCACATCTAAGACCCGCCATTCTATGTACACAGCATTAGTTCATCTTCTCATTCCCTTCATATTCCATTGGTAAGGAGGAAGTTCCACTCGGATGAATTCTTCCCCAAAACTGTAACTATGCAGAACAGAGTGCTGAGAGGATAAGTCCCAGATCACTATGATCTCTTGAAGCCTAGAATCAACTGATATCTATTCTACATATCCTCATAATCTGCATATATTTCCTCCTGTTACAGCTGTATGTCAACATCATTTGGTGACTCTACCTTGAGTGGCTCTTGGGCTTTACATTGAGTAAACACTAGTACAAAAAATAATGAATGGTATTACTGGTGTGCACATATTTCTGTAAACGATGAGGCTGACCTCTTCAGTCATTTTTATTTCCTGATGATCACTGTTCTGATTTGAAACTTGTAGATATTTGGATCCATTTCTATGGGTTTTTTTTTTTTTAATTATTTTTCTTGCTCTCTTCATTTGCTGACTTGGGGTCATATCATGATGAAACACCAGTTCCCATATGATCACTGGAGTTAAGCAATGTTGCACATAGTCAGTATCTAGATGAGTGATCACATGGGAATATCAGGTGCTGTAAGATTTGATGTGAGGGTGGTGCAATGGATAATGACTTGGAATTGCCAATTGAAGAGCAGAGTTCCAATTCCAGTTGGGTTTTTATATTCACTTATGTGCAAATATCCTTGGAAAAGGTATGAATCAAACTCTTCTTCCTTCAGCCATGGGTTAAAGCAAGACTTGAATCACTAAATCGTTATCTCCAAAAAGAAAATTCTTGCAATCTAAAAATATTTTCTGGCTTTAAATAACCTGCAAAGGGTTGATAAGCAGTAGAAAACAGATCACACAATTGTTATATTCATTTATGTGCAAATACCTTTTGGGAAAGGTATGGATCCACCTCTCCTCTCCCAAGCTATGGGTTAATTAGTAATTTAGTATCACTAAATCATTATTTCCAATAATAAAATAAAAATGCATAAAAAATATTTAGATTTCAGCATTAAATGACCCATAGAGGTGTTGATATGTTGCTAAACAAAACGTTGAGACTTGATCAGCAACAGTGTTTTTACTTACCCCTTCAAACATATTCGCTATATTCCTTTCCAAAGCGAAACCGTCACACTGATTGCTTCCTTTTTTTTATGGAAGAATTTTCTAACACTTTTGCCCCAGCCCCTCAATCTCCGGCATCTTACTCTTGGGGTTGAGGTGTCTACTCGGTCCTAACTGAACTTAAGGGAGTGGCCATAGGTCCCCTGAGCATCCGTAGATTATTTGACCGGTCTGCTGGTTTAATTCTGCTTCCTGCCCACGTTGTGGTTTGTTTGATCAAGAAAGCAGAAGTGATGTCTGTCCATTCACGGTCGACTGAAGATGTAGACACGGCTGGGGAGTCTGCGCTAAGAAATTTAGAATGCAGCAAAAAAAAAAATTAATATCTGCAGAAAGCCGGACAAACATTGATTCAATGGTTGAATTGTTAATGTCTTTTATATAGCAGAAAAGAATAGTAGAGAAGAGAAACGGGTTACAGAAAAGAAAAGTAAAAAAAAAAACTCATACACTGGATGCTAGACAGAGAGAGAGTGTATGTGATTATCTTGTTAAATTGTCTCAGAATGATATATGACTCTTGCGATGGAGGGATAAAGATTTCTGTGCGGGGCTTAAAGTTATAGTGGTGTTCCTCCTTCCAACGCTCGCCTGGGCCAATTCTCTCTTCTCTCTTCAAGAATTTTCTCCCGTCTGTCTTTCAGCATAGCTACGCGTTTATCTAGATAAACCCGGCTGGTTATAACTGACCCTCAGCCCTACTACTTCACACACGATTATCACGGGGTTCAGGCTGCTTCAACCAAAATCATGTGAATTCCAAAGTTACCTCTAACTTACTCAGCTCTATTTCAATTTTTAATCGATAAAAATTATTTCCACCATTTCCATTGTCTACTAATGACTTGGATACAATGGTTACAACTTTTGCCCTAGATCAGATTTCCTCATCAGGAACAAAATGCGCTGATCTAATTTCGCTATTCAAACCTTCTCCAATTAAAAAAAAAAAATATATACGTGTGTGTTTCCCAGACTCTCTCTCTGTCACAATATAGATTGCTGTTGAACTGAAAGTTATCTGTGATTGGACTATAAGTTGCCAAGTGATGTTTTAGTGTGTGATTAAACAAAAAAAAATAAGGAAAGTTGTAGCTGACGGATGGCACACAAGTCAATATCTGATCAGTATTGACTGGGTCACTGTGGAGAGGTGGTTATGATGTTCAAAAACCCAAAACCCCTAATGAACATCGGCTTGATGAGGTGTGCCAAAGTAACAAACAGTCAAACAAAAGAACAAAAAGGACTTTTGATGTTAGCTAAAACCTGGTGTCACACCAAGTAGCCTAGATGTAGCCTTTAAAAATTCTATATAAAGAGACAGCTGACAGTCGAGGAAACAGCCTGAAACTGATCCGAGCATGCCACGTGAAGAAGCAAATTGTCATCTGCTGAAGACATTTTTCCACCCTTTTTGAGGTCCGAGAATACACAGCAGATTGGAACCGCAATGTTTCCAAAATAACTACTCTTCTGACAGCTGGCAACAAGATGACGACTTCTCTCAAAGTCTGACTCAAACGAACAAGCTTAACAAAATTTTGCCATTACTGTGTTTGCTTCCATTTTTTATGGAAGAGCGTAGATTGCTGGTAAACTGGAAGTTATCCGTGGTTGGATTATAACTTGCCAAGAGGTGTTGCAGTGTGTGATTAAAAATATGGAAAGTTGTAGCAGATGGATGGCACACAAATCAATACCTGATCAGTATCAGCTAGGTCACAGCAGACGTGGGGGGGGTGTATGATGTTGTATGACCCGAAACCCCTAATGAATCTTTGGTAAAAACATCACTGATGTTGTGTGCTGAAGTGTCACACAAATGTATTTCACAAAACCTTAGATTATATTATTTATTCGTTCTATTAGGATCCTAATAGAAAATGTGATATTTTTTTTTCTTTTTCATAATAAGGGATGCTCTTCTTTTTCAGATGATAATGAAAGCATCGGTCCGTTTCCTCTGATGCTGATTCTCTCAACTGATGGTGTCTTGGTTCCATTCTACATGGTCTATCGACACAAAGCAGCTGTACCTTTGACTTGTAATGTAGAAACGCTTAGCACTGCAGGAATACGACAATCGTTACGTAAGTATACTTCTGATTGAAGCAATCAGTTGATCGGACATAAAAGCCAAGGCCAAATTTTACAGGTTTAAAATACTCGAAATACTGATTAATTTTCCTTTTCTCTGTGTGTGTTTGTGTTTATAATTGATATAAATCTTGATAATTAAGGTATATATTAGTCCATACTTTGATTTTGATGGAAAAGTAAATGATCATGGTGGATCCAATTTTTCTGACCTATTTCAAAGACTGGGTCATTGTTTTGAGTCAATGATCAAACCTCAAAATAACACAGTTGCTGATCTTCTGTTAATTCATGTGTATCAATTATTATGCTTGCTCCATAGCAGCCAAATGATAAGAAACTGTGATTGGTGAAACTGCCGAGAAATCAGAAACTGACTCCAAAATGGCTAAATATTTAATGGGAAATTAGTCAAGAAACACTGCAAACTCCCAATCTTGGGAGTGAATAGATGAGAATTATAACGAAAATAAATTGATGAGATAAATCAACTATTTGGAGTTGAGGTAGAGAACAGCAAAAGATATGTAGCAGAAGCTATTACACATTATTCAGTAAAAATTTCAAATTTGGATTCTTTTGCTCTCAATAGCTTCTTAGTGGCTTTATCACCTTGATTGGGTTGAAATAATTAAAAGAAAAAAAATTTGTAAGCTGTTTAGCCTTTATTCGAGAGTGGATCATGTATACCATCTATCTATATAATACTAAAAGTTTGTAATTGTGTGTGCACCTGCATGGTGTGTCCGTCTGGCGCATAATGATTTATGAGCTGTTTATACAGTATTTTTATTTTAACTTGCTTCAAACAGACAATTTTTTTTAATTAAAATATTTTTAAATTAAAGACAATCACAAAGAGATCCCGCTTTGCTGTTTCATTTAGTTGTTTGTAGAATAATTATTTATATTTCAGATTTCTTTAAACAAACAATATTTTAAATATTTAAAAAAATATTTTTAAGTTAATCTGATTTAATGTTCAAGTTTATCCTGAAAGTTTTATTTCTATTAAATGCTGTAAACGATCAGTAAAACGTTAAACATGAACTTTTAAACCAGACCACTGATGACACAAACGAATTGAAATATTTAACTGAATCATAATAAAATTAACTTTCATTTCAATGAAATGTTGAAATCAACTTCAATGTTTTATAATCTGAACTGTCAGTGACATAACTGGTCACAGGTAGTCTAGTTCTTTACAAGAGTCAATTCCGACGACTAAAAATGGAATTTTGCTGCCTCACTTGCTTGTCTTGATAGATTTCAAATGTATCTACACGGCCTTGTGGGTGATGAATTATTTTACACTCAATAATCCCTTTTCCACAGATGAAACGTCACAAGCCTCTTGCTGCTCTATTACTATTTCCATGGCATGTGTCCTGACAAACTACATTTCTTAGTCTCACCACCCCCTAGACATTACAACTGGGACCTGCATGCCACATACACAAGGATGACTACTCTCCATTCTCTTTGTATTCCATTAATAAGGAGGAAGTTACACTTGGACAGCTTCTTCTCAAGAACTGCTTCTTTGTGAAAGAGGATGTTTTCCCAATCACTACAATCTTGACCTTTTCAAGTCTAGGGTTAACTGTTAGCTGCATAACTCCATGAACTTCTTGCTTTTCTTATGCTCATACAACACCATGGCGTAATCCTCTACCTTGGGTGGCTCTTGGGCCTTGATATATAAAAAGAATTATCTTGATCCATGACCTGCCATACCAGGTTTTTCTAACTTTCCTTTTGATTTGTGAATGGTTGGTTCCTATGCAACTTATACTTTCCCATCTTTTTATAGAATATTATAAACCAACTACTTTTTTTTATTTTTTTTTTTATTGTGAGATGTTGATATGCAAAAGAACCCCAAATTCTCATTCAATTGCTAAGGTTAAGTAATGTTGAGCATGGTCAGTACTCGGATGGGTGACCATTGGGGAATACAAGAGGCTGTAAGCTATACGATAGGCCTAGCAAGCATTTGTATCTCATTATTTATACTAATAAAAGGCCTTGATATATGAGGGTGCTTTTGGACTGACAGGTCGCAATACCTACCGGGAGTTGGGTGACTGGAGAATCCGCTAAGGTGAATTAAAGTAGCTTACAGCCATATCACATTGAAACATCTGTTATTGTCCGATTGTCAAAGTTAAGTAACATTGAGTCAGTAATCAGATGGGTGACTGCTGGGGGAATACCAGCTACTGTAAGCTATTTGACAGGCCTAGCAAGCTGGAGAATGACTACTTATACTAACAGAAGATCTTGATATGTGGAGGTGGTTCTGGACTGACAGGTTGCAAGATCAAATTGGAGATGGGTCTGTGGTTAAGAGTGATATGTGAAAGGGATTCATTTTCTTTTTCTTGTTTCTTTATAGCTGGACTCTCTGTTCCATGTGGACCTTTACTTGTACCAGGTTCAAGTGTTGCTTCACCTTCCACTATGACAACGGCAGTACAACCAACAACATCTATGCCAGAAGCTTTCCCATCTTTGCAGTTTGAAGCGAAGGTTAAACAAATATTTATTAACCTCCCTTTTCTTTCCCCCATATATGTGTATGTATCTCTGTGTGTCTCTCTGTGTGCCTGTGTCTCTCTGTGTGTCTCTCTGTGTGTCTCTGCGTGTGTATATCTCTGCATGTCTCTGCATGTGTGTACGTGTCTCTCTGTATGTGTTATATAACTTGTTTCAAATTTGCTGAAATTAAATGTCCTTTCAGAAACCACATTCAGGCAATCACATTTCAATTACATATTGTAGGTATTTACAAATCTAATTCTGGCACAAGGTCACAAGTTTGGAGCCCCCTCATTAAATTTCTAACTACAGTAATAATAATCTGTGAAACTGCTCCTCAGTAATGCACAGCAGAATAATATAATTTTTTTTTTTTTAAAGCCATATCCCTTCAGTGCATAGACGGTGATAGTTCTCCACAGCTTTCCCCTCTTTAATACTTGCAAACTGCTACTTCTTGAGAAAGATAGTAGAATGATTTTCCTGATGATTTCTGAATGGTTTTGAATTTGAAATTGTCCTCTTAGACTGAATGTCGTCCAAGGCTAGAGAGCTCAGTCTATGCTGTTATTTAACCCATAGCTAAGAGGAGGAGATGAGTAATGTATTCATGTCTTTACCAAGAGTATAAATATGAAGTGAACATAAAAGCTCTAAGTTCATGACTGAAGTACAGCAAATTTGAAAAAACTATTTCAAAGATCATTTCCTGCTGTTAAAATTTATCAGTATTTCGTTCATTGTATGTCACTCATATTGCAATTCTCATTTTTCTAACCAAGTGAGTAGATAGACATGAGTAGACAACGAATGTGAAAGAATGGTTCAATTAATAGATGGATACAACTGACACATGCTTTTTGTTCTCTGACCATAGCAATGTTAGGTGTGTGTGTGTGTATATATGTGTAAAAAAAAAAAAAATGTGCAGTTGCTAAGGGAGATGTCCCCATGTCCAGGAACAAGATCCCATTGGAGTTCTACTTGTACTACAACTTAATGGCATCTTGGCACTACTGGCAAAGCTAAGTGGAGATAGCTCACACCACTCTTGAAAAACCCGCATATAACTGTGACAATAGTTAACAGGCTGTAGTCTCATTCATTATAGCTCACTTGACTAACTAACAACTCCCAAGCACTACCACCATCCATTGAAGCGAGAAAGAGCTATCAGTACTGCTTGTGTCCAGACTGGGTGTGTCTGTTCAGGTATGTGCAATGAGGTAACCCCTGATTGACTAACAAATTAAAGATGCTTCACAAAATTATTCAATTATTTGTACTGTCTGGACAAACTTTGTTCAAAGTAGAACCCTAAAATTCTTTTATATTATGAATGATTTTATTTCTACCTAGAACTCTAATTTTTTTTTTTTTTTTTTTTTTTTTTTTTTTTGGGATCTTTCAGATTCTTAATCCCGTTAGTCCTGCTGTCGCCACCTCACCTGCAAAACCGCAAATATCTGGATTGCCTGCAGGTTAGATTTTTGCATATTTATATTAACTAAATGGCTATATTTTCTTCATGATGATATAATGATTATTATTACCCAGCATAACTTTTCCTTTCTGATGCTTTCGTTTTTAATATAATATGGGGTAGATGTAAAAGTTCTTGGTATTTGAATTTCTGAGATAAAACATAGTTATTATTAACTTGCAGGGAGACTCGGCATTGCCTGGAGGGGAAAAATAAATTTAAAATATAACAGTACATTCATCAACATATTTATTTATTTTTTTTTTTTTTTACAGCATGGGAACATTTTAAAGATTTTGAAAAAGGCTCTCTTTATAAAAAAAAAGACTAGTGGTCAGGGATCTATTTATGAATTGACTAGCTGTTGGGGCTCTGTTTGCAAAAATGGCTAGCGGATAGGGTTTTGTTTTCATTCTAGCCGAATTCATTACATTCACTTACATGCAAATATCCTTCGGAAAGTTATGAATCCCTCTCTTCCCCCAGCTATGGCTTAAATAGTAGGACTTGTATCTGGGAAAAATCATCCTTATACTCAAAAAAAATTGTTAATGTGATATGCACTTGCAAAAAAATATTTATTCTTACAATTCATAATATGTTTGAGCTGTAAATAATCCACAAAGTGTTGATAAACTGTAAAAAATAAATCAATTGCAAAATGACTCTATTTTAGAAATGACTTGTAAGGGATATTTTATATAAACATATGCTGTAGTCGTATACTTAATTAAACAACTGACCATCATATCTAATTGTGGGACAAAACCTTGTAATGGTTCAAGGGTGGAGCAGACCGTCACTTGTTGACTAATTGTTCACATTATAATTACCATATTCTTTGTTCATTTTTGTTTTTTCCAGGTACGAATTTAACATTTGGTTCCAGCACAGCCCCTAGCATCTTTGGAGGACAAGTTGCTTCTCCTCCTGAATCTGTTGGGCAGCAAGCATCCAAATTTAATTTTACTGGCCCTCCTCTTCAGGCCAAGGGTGCTAACGGATCAGCAGCCACAGGCATACTTGCTCCACCCAAAACAGAATTCAATTTTATCCCTCCCCCAACAACTTCCAATGTTGTCAGTACTGCCTCTGAAACAAAGAGTATATTTGGAGCTCCATCCCAGCCACTGGTCAAGTTCAGCTTTGTTGGTTCTTCAGGTCAAAGCCTGGCTGGGTCGTCAACAGTGACTCAAGCTGCAGCATCCACTGCAGGCTTTAATTTTACTCCTGGTAAGTTTGGAAAACTAATGGATATTAGATTTGTGAAACTGTATTTATGACATCTGTATAGACCCTTGATTTTTTTTTTTTATTAGCTTTGTTTGTTTGTAGGATACTTTATAAGTTGTTTTATATATATCAGTAGCATTTGGTGTTAATGGATTTTAAATCAATCCATCAAAACTATTTTTATTTTTTAATTTATATACTTGCATATATGTGTGTATATATACATATACACCAACCTGGCGCATGTATATACATTACCTTATCACATCCAATGTCCAGACTCAAGAGAGTGTCTGCCTGTTTGTTTTTATTTATATATATTATAATAATAAATTACGATAAAGACATTTTACATCGCTATACAAAAGCTTTCATGTTTCAGTACTAAGATTGTACTTCCTCAGGTGATGGTAGATAACTTGTGATAAGAATGATTTATTAGGAAAATTTAAAAAGCATATATATATATATATATATATATATATATATATATATAATGTCCTTGAGGACACATGGCACAGTGGATAAAGGCTGAAACATTGTAATAAATATGGCGACAAAGATGAGGACAATATTCAGAATAATGTAAATAGTGTACATAATACCTCATCTCAGAAATATAGACAAATACCTTATATATCCTGTGTTTTTATTTGTTCCTATTTCTAATGCCCCCTGATTTGTTTTCATAGGGTTAATATTCTCTGACATCTTTTGATACACCTCTCATTTAAGATAGATAGTGACCACCTTCCATGACCCCTATCTAGTGCCATCAATATCAGTATTTTTGGCATGTTAAATTTTAGGTTGACTCCCTCCCATATTACTTCCTTACAATTAACTTTTACTTCCTGCTTCCTCTAGTTCTAGGGACGTGAATTCCATTTCATATGGGGGTTGAAGCAATTACCGTTTAAGTCACATTCATTCTTTATTCTACAGTTACACGTGGGTCTAATTTGTTTAATTAATGTTCCTTGAATGGTAAATGCTTACAAAATGATGTAATATACCAAGCCACAGTAAAATCACCAGATAATGAAGGAAAAGTATACATAGGATTAACTGAAGGCCCCTGGAAACAAAGTAACTATGCACATAAAACATCTTTCACAAATAGTAAATACGTGAACATCACAATACTTTAAAAGCATATCTGGGAACTAATAAACTAATAATAAAAAAAAAAAAAGAACTAATAAAAATAAGCATAAATAAGCAAAAACAAGTAAAAATAATAAATCCAAATAAATAAATTAATTAAAAACTGTCCCCTGCCAAAAATAACAATAGACTATGGCAAGCAATCTAAAGATTGGACAAATAAATAGCTTTAATTATCTTCCCAGGCCAAAACAAACTATTAAACCAGCAACCTAAGAAAATCCCCATCCCTAATTTTTTTACTATGCTAATAAAACTTAAAAAAAACGAAAAGAATAAATAATACAAAATGAAAGTGAAAAACAAGTAAAATAAATTAACAGAAATAAATAAACAAAAGCCACTCCTGCAAAAATAACCACCAGAATAGATTACCCACAATGCACCACTGACTAGTATATATAAATAGTCAAGGAAAAATCCAACATTCACAGCCTGGCGATTGCATCTAGCATGAAGCAGCCTATTGCCTCTGACTGAGTGTTGACTTCAATGTCCACTTATATAAACGATAACATACACATACAGGTGAGCAAATAACTATTTAATCAGTGGTGTCGTCAAAATGGTACTCAATATAAAATATTTTAAGAAATAAAATGTAACACAAGTTTAACTTGGTGAAAAACAAGCGACGCTTTATGAGGGGCTGTGCAACATTTAGAGTTGTTTCTATTCTGCACTTTTTTTTTCTTTCTTTAATGTTGCGGCCCATTTTATTTATTTTGGGTTCCATAGTTTGAAAAAACCTGCTCTAAATCAAACAAGATCTCAAGGTGTTTGCACACATGATTAGTAAAGGGAAATAACTCTTCTATCTCTTTAGTTCTAAAAGTGCAGTCCTAACAAACATGTCCATCATTTAAAACCGGCTAGAATTTTTTGGTATACCACTTTGTTAAAAGACTAAGTCCTGTTGATTTATTACATCTCCAGTAATTCTTCACTTAAGTGGCATGAAATAATTTGTCATTTTATATCTTTAGATATAGGTACCTCTACTAATTTATTGAAATTGATGAAAAGATGCCCCGAACTTGCTAAAAACTAAGTTTTATCATCAAAGCCTTTGTTATTATTAAAGACCAACGGATTTTTTGATTATTTTATTACACTTTTTAATCCTTTTTAAAGTGTTTGAAATTTTGATTAAAGGTCTTGTTTTTCCTATGTAGCATAGAAAATTCTAGCATCTTTTTTTTTTTTTTTACTTCTTTTTTTATTATTTGGAAATTCTTGCAAAAATGAAAACATTGTTGGATTTTAATGTAACTTTCAGGACTTATTCACAAATGAATTAAATTATTTTAGAGATTTTTTTTTTTTTTTTCAAAAATGGACACTCCTTACTGAAACACTGCTCTTGAATCGTAAAATAAAAAAAATGCAATAAAACATTGTTAGAAAAGCTTTTAATTGTTTTTATGAATAAGATATATTAAAGGCACTATTGTCTGAGGAAAAAAAAATTTTCAATGAATAATGAATTTTTACAATAATTGTTTTCATTTTTTAAAAATTTTAGTTAGAATAATAAAATTTTAAAATCTTTTAAAATTCTGCTTAGATGGTTTAACAGGCAATAGTGTTATTAAGTTAAATCTTTATTCACTAATTATAAATTGAAAAGCTTATTACAATTCAAGGATCCCCGGTATTTTAAAAAGAGTTTTTAATTTATTTCTATATGTAGAAATGTGCTGATTTTTGCAGATATGGTTGTTCATACACAACATTATCAGAAAATAAGAGCAATAACTATAGAGCCAAAGTATCTAAAATTAATAAAACATTAGATTACAGACTATTTTCATAAATTTTTAAGATTACTGAGTACTTAAAAATTGCATAAAAAGGCACTCATGTTATATTCTTCAAATATTTTTTTATAGATATATCCACCATAGAAAAACATTAGATAAACATCCAACTGTCATAAAACTATCAACATCTTAATAACAATGCATTTGCATAGATATTTTATTGTCCTAGAACTTGGCATGAGCCTATTCAATCAGTAACTGAAAAATTAAGGTTCATCAGAAATTTCAAATAAAAACCGTGAAAATTAAAAAAATAAATAAATAAAAAAAATATATAAAAAAATTAAAACAAAATTTTTTTTTTTTTTTTTTTTTTTTTTTTAGAATATTATTATTTCAGCTTTTAATTTAATGTTTTTCATTGTTGTTTTGATTTTAGGAAGCAAGGGTTTTGGCTCCTTATCCACTGGTACAGCAGTAACTACTACAACTCCCAGTGCAGCATCTGTTAGTCTTGGCCAAGTTGTTCCTACCACAGCAGGTTTAAAGCCATTTGGGGCTGCACTGACGTCTGATAACAGTCAAAGCAACCAGCCGGTGCTTGGTGTTAGTGCAGCTGCCACTGCTGTAGGTAGCCAGGGATTTGGGATTGCGTCGGCACCTAATTCAACATTTAACTTCAATTTTGCAAAACCACCTGCTACTCCAGTTGCCAAAGTCCCCGAAGCAAACAGTTTGGCAGGGACTGTGAAAACAGAGCCACCAGCACTTGCACCATCATCAACTGTTGCTAAAACATCACCACTCTTCCAAGTAAAACCAGCAACGGGTAAGAAAGTCTGACAAACTTTAATTTTCGTGCCTGTTAGAAGAAAAAAAGTGCATTGAAAGGACTTTTTTTTTTTTTTTTTTATTGTATTGTGCTACGTTTATTCCTTCAGCAAATTTTTTCATTTACCTTATAAAAATATGTGAACAAATACAGTTTTTATTTACATTTACCTTTTATAAATAAATATTTTATTGAAAAAAAATATCAAAATATGTGTAAACATTTAGAATGACATTAATTATTTAACCATTTATAGTTTGATATTTTTTTATTTATAATTTTATAAAAAAATAAAATTTGCTTCATAAAAAATGCCTGAAAATGCATTTTTTGAAAATTTTCAATAATTTTTCTTACTCCTTATTTTCTGTTTATTTAAATTTTCATTTTTTTTTATTTTTTAAAATTTATGAATAAAAAAAATTATTTTTCATATTTATTTCTTTATAAATTGTTAAACATTTAAATGATTTACATTGCATTATAGTTTGCATTTTTAAATTTTTTGCGATTAAAATTATTCTTGAAATAAACAAATTAATATTGTGTAATAAAACAAGTTTTTTTATTTAAAATAATTTGTAAATATTATTTAAAAAAAAATTTCCAAAATTTTTGTTAGTTCATATACCTTCACAAAAATCCAACTTGAATCTTTAAATTATTTCTTACTTTGAAGAATTTCAAAAAAATGTATAAATTATTCTTATTTTGTTTAAAAATATTACACACATCTATTGTATTTACCATTTTATCTTTTCATTAAGTATTTTAGTGTGAAAATTGAACAGCCTAAAAGTAGGAGTGGTCCATTTGAATTTTTTGAAGAAAAAAAATACTCCATAGGCTTAAAATGGTTGGGAAGCACTGCTTTTTACACAAGACCAAATGGTTTTTCTTGGTCAGGGTTAGGGAGACTGTTAAGCCAAGGGGAAAGAACACATTGTGCTTTTCCATTTTTTTTTTTTTTTTTTTTTTTTTCCTTTCTTTTATTAGCAAGATGTGCTGTAATAATTAAATGATCAACATTTTGAATTAATAAAAGTCCAGTTTGTGTTCACGTGATAAAAGCGCTATGGAAGCATACTATGTCATGATATAGGTAATCATTGTAGTGAATGACTGTTTCTGAAGTAATTTATTTTATTCTACTTGAGATATTAGTTACTGATATAGTTCCTCTGTTAGATTTAGGCATTCTGTAGAGTTGGAGCATCGATAAGAAGAGGAAGTCTCTATTGATGTGCTCATATGCTGCTGTGAGGGTGACATGGCAAGTGTTCAATATTCTATTGGGGAGGTAAACAATCTCCTGGAGTTGTTTGATGACATATATGCCACCATTACACTCCTTACCAGAATGAAAACCAAACTGGGTTGTGAGAAGCTGGCTTTGATAAAATGATGAGAGCCTATTTAATACAATGTTTATTAATACTTTTCACCATAATGGATCCAAATGAGATACCTCTGTATATGTGCAGGTCTTGAAAGCTACCTTATTGCTTCCATAGGGTGATTCCATTGTCCATTCAGGATAAACATGACATTTTCGGGATGTGTTTCAGATTTCCAAAGACTGAAAGAAACTTTAGGTTTGTTTAATAAACTCTTCCTGTGATTATTTACACAATTTACATTCTTTGAACTGTTGTCCTCATCTTTATTGTCATATTCACACTGTTTCAGCTGTTGTACGCTCCAACCTTCTTCAGGTGATATACATTGGAATTTCAAGCCAAGCCCTTTATTTCCTCCCCTGAAGACAGTCTGAACAGTGTAAATAGTGTAAACAGTTACAAAACCTCATCTCAGAAATACAGATATCCTGCGGTGATATAATTTACTATTTTATTCTCTTTTATCATCAAAGTCAGTCAGTCAGTTAAGTGCCGCATGAGATACATGCTTGGGTGATCATGTCTCTTTCGATTCATGACTGACTATGCAGAAGATTTTCCTGCAGCAGGCTGTCGTTTTTTTTCTGCTGAAGATTGGTTACCAACCAAGGCTATAGGATCCAATCTGTCCTGCTATTCAACCTATAGCTAGATTGATTATTACCTTTCCCAAGGGTAGTTGTGTAATGAACCTGACTGGAATTTGAACTTGGCTCTCTGATTTCTCATTCTGAGCCATTATCCATTACACCACCTGCACATCCCATTGTCAAGGTAGTTGACAGATAATTTAAAAAGACAGATATTCAAATTTTTGTTAACCTTTATCACTCTGTATGTGACTTAATCTGCTGTACAAAAAGTTTATCCTGCCACTGAAGGTAACTCTGACCCAACATATCATACCATTTTGAAATCAGGCTGACAAATTAAAAACATTCCTGTCTGGACCCACAAATCCTGAAATTTTGGATTCCCAAGTTTTCATTTCTGTGATTGTTTCCTTTTTTGCAACAAACTTTTTTGTATGATAACAATTTTTATAACTTGGAAATAAATTTGGGAATAATCAAAATTAATTGCAAAATCCAGTGAAAGTTGTCCATGAAATTAAAATAACTGTTTGTATGCAAAGTAAGGACCTATGTACAGCAAATTGTCTTTAAATTAAGAGCCGTCAGAAGAATTATCATTGAACTTTTAAGAGGAAAGCTTAAATATTAATTCTATACTTAAATGTAGTGATCAATTTTGAGTTCTTCTGTAGTTTATAGTTGCCTATCATATCTCCTCCTTCCTACCTATTTTAATGAAGGCCTAATGAAGAGCCCTCCCCAGGAGCTAGTTTAAATGCTGCTCATTAGGGTGCCTTTTAAGCTAGTTAACAAATTAATGTTATCATGTTATTGTCTTTTTCTGCTTTGTAATTATATTTCTTTATTTCTGTTTGTTTATAAAAAGTCAAAACAACGGGAAAAGAACAATCTGGTGGTCATGTTACCAAATCTGAAATGTCAAATCAAGCTGTCCTTTCTAATTTAACAGACGAAATTAATATTTTTTGTTGACAGTGCATTTGTCAAAAGCATCATGGAAGAGGTAAGAGCAGATCTTTAGTCTAAGACCAGCATTCCTCAACCTTTTTTTTTTTTGATTTACTATTTTGAAATATTTTCATGTCAGAGAACTAAAATCAAAATACAAAAAATAACTAATCAGCTTCCATTTATCTTGCTTGATAAAGATGATTTTGTGTTTATTAAACCAGTGTTTCAACATTTATTTAATCCAAATTGTTCTAGTCTGCTTTATTTATTTTATAAAATCTCCAACTAATGTTGTTTCAGTATTGTCCTGGAACCATGCTGAAAAACAACTTTAATTGACCATTTTATTTTATTTTATTATTTATTTATTTTTTTTAATTTCTTTCACCCCCTATAAAAGGGATTGTTTTTTTTTGAAAAATGTTTAAATCCCAAATATGAGCAAATAGTTTTAAACCCAAACTGGGGTAAAAAAAAAAAAAATTATAAAAATTGTGCAATAATTTTTTTTATTTTAGTGATGGAAACTTTTTTTTTTTTCTTAGAAAAATTAGGTTTTACAATTAGATTTTAAATTTTTTTCAAATTTTGAGATAAAAAATATTTTAATATTTTTCAAATTTTTCAACATTTGTTTTTCATTCAGTTTTCATTGACTAGTTTAAAAAAAAAAAAACCACTTCAGTTTTGTATATGTTTTGTTTTTTTTTTATGCATACATAATTTATTTTTCTAAATGCAGGACATTTGAAAATACACAATAAACACACAATTGTGTGTTTTTATTTATTTTTTTTATATATATATATATATATATATATGTTTATATAAATATAATTCACTGTAAGTCAACACTTAGGTTTTTTTTTGTTTTTCATGTTCTAGACAAAATTGTCAGGCCTGATGATTTTTCAAAACATAAACCTTACTGTTTTCCAATTTTTTTTTAAAATTTTTTGTTTTTTTTTTTTTTACAAGTGTTCTATCTCTGATTATTTTGAAATCCCATAAATATATGAAATCTTAAGACTATATTTTTCTTAAAAGTTTGTTTTTCTTTAAATTAAAATATTTCTCTGAATTAACATTGATGCTCTCAGTATTTCATCCTCTTTATTATCCATATGGATTACTAAGATTTTCGTTATATATATATATATATATATATATATATATATATATATGTTATTTGACAATTTTGTCTAGTGACAGGCTGTTTCATGCTTTACGCAATTGGCCTTTTGACGATTGTGTCTGAATATTGAATTTTTTAAGCCTATTGATTTCAATTAAATTACTTTTATATTTTTTACTCTCTATCTCTGATATTTTTTACTTTATCCCATAAATATAGCACACATAAAACTATATTTATCATATATATATATATATATATATATATATATATATATATATATATATATATATATATATTTTTTTTTTTTTTTCAATATACTTTATATTTAATATTTTTAAAAAAAAAAAATAAAGCAATGAAACATTAATGGATTATTCTCTGAAATAAAATAAAAAAATTTTTTCATTTTTATTTAATGCTTAAACTAAAAAAAAAAATTTCATAAAAGTAATTCATTTTTAAAATATTTATGTAATTCCCATTTTTTAATTGTATTCATCCATTTTCATAAACCTAAAATAGTTTTTAAATTTTTCTATTTTTTTAATTTTTATTTCTTGTTTGGTAATCAAACTCTATAAATTTTACCTTTCTAATTTCATTAGGCCGAGTGTTTTCTACCCTTATTTAAAAAAATGGTTTTAAACATAGAATAATATTATTTTAATTTAGATTTATGATAATTCTTAATTTTATTTGCCAGCAATTTTTTTTTTTTTTTTTTAAATAAATATCATTTTAATTAAAAAAATTTTTTTGGAACTTTTCATTGAAAAAAAGCCAATCCTCCCAAGTTAATGTTGTGTCATCCCTGGGATGATAAGACAATATTAATCTTGAACCCTGCTAGGTATGATGATACAAAGGAACAATTTGAAGAAGAAAAAGCAAGATGAAGAAATACTTTTCATTAACAATGAAAGTATCTCATCTCTTAATTTTTATTGAAAATGTTTTGAAATATTTAATGAAAAATGGAAATGTTAGTTTTGCAATCTGATATTTATTTTTTTTATTTTTTTGTCTTTTAGATCAGTCATTTCATTTAGATATTGAAAAACTTGAAAAAATGTTTTTTTTTTTTTTTCAATTGTGGGCACTGAAAAAAAAAAAAATTGTTGTCTAGACTGAAAAGATTTAAATTTTAAATAGTGAAATCAAGAAGACAACAATGGTAAATATTGATGGCATGTTGGTAAAATATTGTATTGTTCATGAATTTGGTGTATTTTTGTGGAAGGTAATTCATGAACTTGGCCAATGTGTGTTGGTTTTTCATTATACAAAGCATGCATTTTTTTTTTTTTTTTTTATTACCTATACACACAAAGGTTACAACATATGCAAATTCTCTAAACTAACCTTCCTTTTAGTACCACCTTCTTCTTCCTTTTTTTATCCTCTTCTTCCTTTTGGCACCCCCTTTTCTTCTCCTTCCTTTTAGTACTCACATCTTCTCCTTCCTTTGTGTACTCTTTTTCTTTCTTTTTTGAACCCCCAATTAATTTTAATAAAAAATTAATTTTTTTTTTTTTTTTTACCCTCTTCTTTTTTTTTGGCTAAAATTGTCACCTTCCTTCTTAATACCTCCTTCTCCTCTTTTCTTTTTTTTTCTTTTTCATCCCATCATTTTTTTCCTCCTTTTCCTTATTTAGGTTCCAGCAAAAGACATTTTTTATGATTAAAAAAAAAAAAAATGATTTGTTCCATTTGCTTGAAGAATTTTATATCAAAGATTATTTTTTTACATGGATGTTTTTTTTAAAAATTGTAAAAAAATAATTTTAATCTTGACCCTGGAAAGTGCATCATTTCATGCAAAAAAATTTTCAATGCAGCAAGTTAATGAAAATGGACTTTTATTTGCCAATAAAGTCCTTGAAAAAAAATGGGAATAAATTAGAACCAGTGTTAAACAATTTTATTTTAAAAATTTTGATTTTTTTTTAAAAATAAAATAAATTCAAAATTATATTTTTTTCTTATTTTTATACTTATACAAAAGGGAAAACAATTCCAAAAATGCATATATTGATTATACAAGCAATACATTATTATGTTGGTTTACTTGCCATTTATGTGATAATTGCTCAATTAAATCATATATCACCAACCAACACAACAACAAAGCAAATACATATAAATAATACAAAAATACTATCCTACTGAAATTATAAAAAATGATTACAAATGTGAGAAGCCTTAATCATAAACAGTCCCGACTGAATAATATTTTATTCAATTTAACCAAAAAAAAACCCGAAAAATTGATTTCAACACAATTCATTTACTCTATTTATAAGCCAAATAGATATTATTAAAATAGATATATTTTAAAAATAAATTTTCAATAATTTCATTCATTATTTTTTTTTTAAAAAAAGATTTTTGACAAATGAAAATGCAAAGAATCTTTATTTTCAAATTGAAAATTGGTTATGGTTAAATGTTTATGGGTTAAACAATTTCTGTCTGTTTATTTAAGTATCAACATGTATTAATCTATTGCTAGGTCAACTTTTTTAAAAAAAAATAATTAACTATTTCAAAATTTGACAATTTTTCTCTCAATTATCTATCTTACATTTGTTTCTATTATTTTATTTTGAACTTCTTCATTCTAAAATCAAGCTCCACTGAAAAATGCCATATTGAAATGTTTTCTTTTTATTTTATTTTTTTTTTTTTTTTCCTGTTTTTTAATTTTTTTAAACTTGGAATTTTTTGTTTCTGTTTTGGCAGCAAATTCAAAAAGATGGAATGGACACTGTTTTTTTGTTTTCAAGATTTTTCCAGAATATTATTAATTTTTTTTTTCCTTTTTTTTTTTCTCCATTTCTTTTTTTTTTTTATAAATTTCTTTTTGTTCTTTTTTTTCCTTTCCATTTCTTTAATTTTTTTTTTCTTTCTTTTCCCTTCCTTTTTTCAAACAAAGAATTTTTCTTTTCTTTTTAATAAAATTTTTTTTTTTTTCTTTTTTTTTTCTTTTTCTCTTTTCTTTTTTTTTTTTTTTTTCTTGATTTCTTTTTTTTTTTCTTTTTTTTTTTCTTCTTCTCTTTCTTTTTTTTCTTTTTTTTCTTTTCTTTTTTTTTTTTTTCTTTTTTCTCTCTTCTCTTTTTTCTTTTCTTTTTTTTCTCTTTTTCTTTTTTTTTTTTCTTTCTTTTTTTTTTTTTTTTCTTCTCTTTTTCTCTTTCATTTTTTTTTCTTTTTTTTTTTTTCTTTTTCTCTTTTTTTTTCTTTTTTTCTCTTTTTCTTTCTCTTTTTCTCTCTTCTCTTCTCTTTTTTCTTCTCTTTTCTCTTTTTCTTTTTTTTTTTTCTTTTCTCTTTTTTTTTTCTTTTTTCTTTTTCTCTTTTTTTTTTTTTTTCTCTTCTTTATTTTTTTTCTTTTCTTTCTTTTTTTCTTTCTTCTCTTTTCTTTTCCTCTCTTTTCTTTTTTTTTTCCTTTTTCTTTTTTGTTCTTTTTCTTCTTTCTAATTTTTCTTTTTTCCAAAAAGGTTTTTTTTTTTCTTCTTTTTTCTTTTCTTTCTTTTTTTTAAAATCCTCCTTCTCTTCCCTTTTCTTTTTTTTTTTCTTTTTCTCTCTTTTTCTTTTTTTTTTTTTTTTTCTTCTTTCTAAATTTTTTTTCTCTTCTCTTCCACTTTTTTTTCCCTTCTTTTCTCTTTTTCTCTTCTTTTTTCTCTCTTTTTCTTTTCTTTTCTCTTCTTTTTCTCTCTTCTTTCTCTTTTCTTCTCTTCTTTTCTTTTTTTCTCTCTTCTCTTTTTTTTTCTCTTTTCTTTTCTTTCTTTTTTTTTTTTTCTCTTCTCTTCTCTCTTTTTCTTTTTCATTTTTCTTTTCTTTCTTTTCTTTTTTTTTTCTCTCTTCTCTTTTCTCTCTTCTTTTTTTTTTTTCTCTCTCTCTCATATTTTTTCTCTCTAAAAATCTGCCCGATAAACTTAAAATTTTTTTAGTTTATAATAAATTTAGAAATATAACAAACTATTTTGGAATGAATTTCACAGACTAAATGTAGCAGCTCATCTAGAACAGAGGTAATAATAAAAATGTAAGTATAAGAAAATTTTTTTATTTTTTGGGATTCATTTTTTATTTTTATCTTTTATTGTTTTTGTTAACTCCTCTTCTTGTAGGGAAAGTGAACTCTCCAGCCTTGCAGATACATTGATTGCCAGTGACTCCAAACAATCAGCTGAAGTCACTTCTCCTTGTTGTTTTATTTTTGAAACTAACGAAACTCCGGGAACATTTGTCGAAAAAAAATGTTTATTTTAAAAACCTGAAAGTCCAAAAATTCAGACATCATCATTTTGAATAAAACAGGACTGTTTTGGCATCTAATGCCATACATTAATTAAAAAAAAATTAATAAACACAATGTGGGGTTGGCCCAAAAAGTTTATTCATATTTTCTTTATCGTATATACTTGTGTAACAAGAAATCTCTCCTATCATCCAATCCTCAAATTTTCACTTATAAAAAATGATTTCATCATTTATCTTGTGTATCATGTGAGTTTCTTTTTTTTCGAAATTTTTCTTTAGACCCAACCTCTTTTTCCTCTATCTCTTTATCCCATCTTCTAGTTAAATAAGTTAAAAACAGTAAAAGTGAATGATAACATTATTGTTAGTAACACTATGGTTTTTTTAGTAGTATGTGTTTAGCCATAAACAACTGAATAAAACCACTAAAAAATCTTATCTAACAAAAACAATGGAAAATTTACATATTCATATTATGTTTTGTATTTTATAAGACAAAACTAATGTTTGAATATTACATGCATTATTATTAATAAAGTTAAATAAAAAATCAAATTTGTACTTTTTTGACTAAGTAAATGGTTTTAACAAATGATGTAGCCATAACAAGTTTTACATTTTTTAATTTTATATCTTGCATAGGATGCAATCCTTTTTACATTCAAAATTAAAGTTTTCAAAAACTGCTACTTGTGTATATACGGTACTAGCAGTAGAGCCCAGCGTTGCCTGGGGATGTAACAGTAAGAGATAGATCAAGTATTGACCATCATAAAGACTGAAAAATAAAATTGACAAAGATTATTGTTTAAGGTTGATGGACACATGTCTTAATTAGTTTTTTTTTTTTTTTTTTTTCGAATTGGTCAAACTCAAACTCAAAAAAAACATTGTTTTCAATTGTTATGAGTCTACCGATTGAATAGAATTTTATTATAAACAATTGTCTTGTAAATGGAATTTTTAAAGCATTCTGAATGTAAAAATAAAAAGAAAAAAAGTGTGCAAGACAATAAGAAACACTACCTGCCAAAAAAAAAAAAAAAAAAAAGTGAAATTTTGTTGAAATCGGTTGAAAAATGTAGGAAATTCGATCCCATATATAAACGAACAGAACACACAAAACAACCTGGGTTTTATAATAAGTATAACTCAATATGAGTTGTCCCCCTTTCATTCTCGACAGCGATGCCTCTTAATCGTGTTTTCAAATTGATTTTGTGCAAAAACAATTGTTTTTTTCTAATTTTTGGCACTGTCAGAACCACCGCAAGGTAATTTTACATAGTCCTGTGAAGTTTTGTTGAAATCGGTTGAAAAATGTAGGAAATCCAATCCAATATATAAACGTACAGACACACACACACACACACAAAACCTGGATTTTATAATAAGTATGATTCTTCCTCATTTTCGATGTACAGCTGTGTTTTGCACTCTTTCAAAAATCTTTTATGATCTTCCTTATGTACAATCACTTGTCTTAGGTTCTCTTTTAATTGACTCCTGCTCATCTGTTTGACGCTCTTTTCACGCAATTGTCTAATGACCTTATATCGTACACTCAGTTGTTTTATGCTCTTCTTCCTCCCAACTTTCTGTCCATCTCAGCATCACGATATGCGGCTGGCAGCACGAGCAGGCAGCATCGTTTTATCAAATCATGTTTATTTTAAATACAGCTATACTTTTTTTTAAACAAATGGATAAATACTTTTAAACAAACAATGTAGCCAGGGCCAGAAGTACATATGCTAATTTTAAATCTCATGTATGATGCAACCCTCTTAAAATTAGCTTCAAAATTAGGTCTTCAAATATCACATGATACGCAAGTATGGTTCTTATAATTATCCTATTATAGTTGTTTGTACCTCCCTTTGTTAGTTTGCACGACCGTTATGTCCTGCCAATACCTCATAAATAATGGACTATTCTGTTTTGATTGTGTAGAAAGAGGTTTTGCTATTGGCTTTAGTGAAAAAAATTTAAATAAAAAGGGAAGACATTAATGAGCTATTTCAGTGAAATAGAAAAAGTTAATTTTGTCAATTCAAATCTTTTCAGTTGTACTCACTTCTTAAAATAATGACCAGCATTCATATTTATGATTGTTATTGAAAAATTTAGTTAAAGTTGTTAAGCTGAAATATTTAATGATGCACTAGGGGAATTTCTATGAATATTTTATTGTCGTAGAACTCTTTAATGACTTAATTATTTAATGAAGAATTAAGATTAATCAGAAAATTCAAATTTTCCTGTTTCCTGATTTGTGGCTTCAGGATTGAACAAGTTAAGTAACATTCAGTCTGGTTAGTATCTAGATGGGTGACCACTTGGGAATACCAGGTACAGTGAGCTTGGATGTGTGGGTGGTGTCACTTTAAAACACCAGTTCTTGTACAGTCAATGAAGTTAAACAACGTTGAAATGGTTTTAAATTAGATGGGTGACAATATTAGGAATACCAGATGCTGTAATCTTGGATGTGCAAGTGGTGTAATGGATAATGGCTTGGAATTGATAATCAGAGAGCACAGTTCCAATTTTTGTTGGGTTTGTTAGATTTGCTTGTGTGCAAATACCCTTGGGAAAGGTATGAATCCATTTCTCCCCCAGCTATGGATTAATTAGTAAAACTTATATCATGAAACCATTATTATCTCCAAGAATAAAATAAAATTTCATACAAAATATTTACTTCAGCATGAAATAACCCATAAAGATATTCATATGCCGCTAAGCAAAAAAAAAACAAAAACAAAACAACTATCATCATTGTGGTTGTTACAGACACTTTTCAACTAGTGTACCCTTAAGCCTTTTTCAGTTGTCTCTTGTACCCAGTTATTCAATTCATTGAGGTTGGTTGTTCTCATTCTGCAAGTCTGATACAAAGGCTGGTAAGTATTAACTGTGCCTTGCTTTGCTGAAGAGCCTTCTGTGGTTGAATGGTAAAGCACATCTGACTAAAATGTGATTTCTAAGGATAAAGGGAAAACAGGTTTTGACTGCCTTAAGCACACTTTCTTTAATATGACTTTCTATGTCCAAGCCAGTAGACATTAATTTCATTGTTTATAAAAAAAAAAAAAAAAAAAAAATTCGGAAAGTGGGACAAGAACCATATTTACTCATAGAATTACTAAGTAGCCTAGTTCCACAAGCATCTGAAGAAGGCCACAGAGTGGAATGGCTGAAATATTGTGAGTATAACAACTGAATGAACATCCCGGTCTAAATAATAAAGCATAGAATATATTTATTTTTATGTTGCATGATTTTCTGCCATTCTTCATAATTCCATACTCTTGGACCATACATTTTGCCTTTTTCAGCAAAGAACTGCTCACAGTGTGCCTTTTTCTATTTTGCAGGGAATTTTTTTTTTCTCCATTTAAGGATTTTTTTTGCAAAATTTTTTTTACATGATTTTAATCTTTAAAAGATAAGGAACCACTTGAATTAGAATTATATATTAGAAGCATATCTTATGTGGATATGTAAGAAAAATCCCTAGTTGACTTGGATAGGTTAAGATTGTAGTAATCAAGAAAAGCCACTTTTATTGAACTTTTTTTTCAGAGAAAATGCTCAATTTAAACTTACATCTCACCATTGTAATATGAAGGTCATTCCCTACCATGTGCATAGAATGCTGGGTCTTAGGTAAGAACTGGTAGAACTAAGGAATGTAGTTTGTCTGAAAAGAACAAATTCTTGGATATACTGATAGTGTAAATTTACCAAAACTTGCAATGTTTTGTATGTGAATAAAAAAAAGGGTGGAAAATAAAAATCACCCACAAAGATGTGGAGACGCTTTTGAACTCTATCAAGACAGGAAGGTGACGACTGGGAATTCAGTAAAGTGTTGGGTTACTGCCTCATGAAATATAATTATATGGTGAGGTTTTGAATTATATGTTGAATGATGATTACAGAAAAGTCAATTTTGAAACCATACCTGACGGTAATGAGAAGTTCTTTTGGTTTTTAAATTACTGCCCTCTCATTTTATAATTATAGGCGGGCGTCATATTTGAAAGAGAATTCTCTTTTCTTTGTCACTTTCATAATGAAGATTTAAATTCTTTTCTCTTAAAAATTTAATTAATACTGACCTAATACATTTAAGGTTTCTTTGAATTTTCAATATTTTGAATTTCTTATTTTTCCTTTTTGTAAATTTCCAAGTCTTGTGTCTTATTTTGGCCCAGACTCACATGAGTTAACAATTAAGAATTAACAATTTTTATCTGGTCACCAAAGAAACATTTCAATCTAACATTATCTTGGTTAGATGAAATATTTTGCTATTTCATAAACATTATCTTTTCCAGTAAAGAACTGTATTTCTAAATAGGTACATTTTTTACAGTCTCTTGTTTTCCTTTCCTCTCCTCCCCATTATTTTTATATATATATATAAAAAAGACATATATTCATAAATTTCATTAAATAATATATACAAATGTTGTCTATATATTTTATGTAAACTCTTTTTTAACGTCTAATAAGTTTAATAACATTATAATTGAACGAAGAAAGAAATTCACAATATTGATCCATATTTTTTTAATACAATCTAAGCTTTCCATTAATATATTTATTTATACAAGATGTCAATTACAACATATTATTAAATCAATATAATACAAGACAGTGATGACAGTCTGTCAATGTTTATATTAGATGATCTCAACTATAAACACATGCATATAAAATGTGTTTATTAAA